ATATAAAGTGGCTAAATTTAAGTACTTACTTTGAGAAAAAACATGTTTACTTCATGGGGAAAAAAGAAACTAATATTTTAAAAATATGTTTTTTATCGATTTTTTTTTGAGAGAGAGAGGCATTGATCTGAGAAGAAAGCATCAGTAGGCTGCTTCCTGCATGCCCCAATAGGGGATCTAGCCTGCAACCTGGGCTTGTGCCCTAGCCAGGAATCAAACCAACAACCTACCTTTGGGTGCACAGGACAACACCCAACCAACTGAGTCATGCCTGCCAGGGCAAGAAGCTGATATTTTATTATAGCAAACACAACCAGTGAGGGACCTATTTGCCAAATGTTTGATATCAAGAACAAAATTGGAGCCCAGCTGGTGTGGCTCAGTAGTTGAGGATAGACCCATGAACCAGGAAGTCACGGTTCAATTCCCAGTCAGGGTACATACTCAGATTGCAGGCTCAATTTGTTTTAAACACTTAAAATGTGCTCTTTAAAACCATACATATTCTTTTCTATTTGTTCTAAAAATTTCAGAAGGCTCCTATTTACCCATGTTTATTTTATATTTATATGTAGTATATGAATACATTACCCACATAAGTATATGTATACATACAATACATATAATTTTATGAATTGACATTTTAAATGTATTTTATCTTCTGACTTTAATTGTATTTAGAATGTCCACTGCATGCTCCTAGCCTTTACATGTCTACAATTCTGAGGCCTTGATCTGTTATTTCATTTGTATCTCCTACCCTTTTCATTGGCTCACTGTCCTCTACCAGGAGTCTGTGTTTGCATCCTGCCTCTTTTTTTCTGACTGCATCTGGTTCTCATAAGTAGTCCCAGATGAAACTGAACAATCTCGCCCTGTTATGCCACTACCTATATAATTCATAATTATCAGCTCTATCCACGCTCAACATTGGCCCTTAGCATTCAGATTCTTCTCATGGGATTCAAAATTAATTGGGACCCTCTGTTTATAAGTAGTCAACTATTTCCAAAATGTTGACCTTTGTCTGCAGTTTAGTTCTTTGACTTTAGTATTAGGCTAAGGGCTATATTCCCAGATGTGTATTTCCAGAAGTGTTCAGCTCTTTGAACTTTGAGCCATGTAGTTATGAGACCAGATTCCCATATATAGAATCAAAGGAAAAGTTAATATAGATAAAGGACAGAGCCTAATAGAATGCATTATGGGTTTAGAGAGAGAAGAATTAAACAGAATTTGCCAAAACCGGTTTGGCTCAGTGGATAGAGCATCAGCCTTCGGACTGAAAGGTCCTGGGTTCAATTCCGGTCAAGGGCATGTACCTTGGTTGTGGGCACATTCCCAGTAGGGGGGTGTGCAAGAGGCAGCTGGTTGATGATTCTCTCTCATCGATGTTTCTAACTCTCTATTCCTCTCTTTTCCTCTCTGTAAAAAATCAATAAAATATATTTTAAAAAACACACACAGAATTTTCCCTGCTCTCAACTAACTTATAACCTAATAAAGGATATAGCAGAATTGCATTGGAATAATAATAATAATAATAATAATAATAAGTGAAATACCTGCAATGAGTGCCATAGTGTTATTGGGGTCTAATGAATGAAGAAGACACTTTTTTCAGTTCAGAATTGGCTCTCTCACTGTCCACTCTGTCTGAATGCAAATAAATTTATTAAATTCTTTGTCTCAAGTTCTCCACTTTAAAATTTTAATAATAATACCTATTTCATAGGCTATGCCTTTTAAATGAATAACACCTATATATAAGTACGTATGTATACATGTATATGTATAGATGTATTTCAATTTATATATAAGCTAGAGGCCCAATGCACAAAATTCATGCAAGAATAGGCCTTGGCAGCTGCCTGGATCCCTCCGTCTCAGCCTCAGCGGCTGCCTCGATCCCGCTGCTACAGCCCCGGCCTTGTCCAGAAGGTTGTCTGGAAGGACATCCGGTCTAATTAGCATATTATGCTTTTATTATTATAGATATATGGGCTAGTGTAATAATGAAGATTGTTATTTCAGTTTTGGGCTTATAAATGCTGGGCCCTTTGGTAACTTGTGGGAGGAGATAAAAAATAGTCACTTGGATATATCAGTCTTGAGCCAGCAGAAAGTACTGGAGTGCAGATAGAGTAATAGTAAATATTATGCAGCATTTCACATGGAATATAACCAAAAATATGTTGGGAACCAAGAACATAAGCTTGTTAGACCATTTCTTCACACAGTTAAAAGGAAAAGTTCAAAAAGAGGCAAACAAACAAAAACAACGAAAGTTTTCATCACTCAGCCCTCAGAGAAGAGGAAGTCCTCCACCTGGGAAGAGTGCTGCAGAAATGAGACTTACTCTCTAGAAAGCAGGGGCTTTCCCATTTTCTCTCTAGACCTTGCCTTCCTGACTCAAGCTGAGAGGCAGTGACTTCAGAGCTCATGCTGTCAGTAGACAAGTTAGAAGGCTGGGATTGAGGTGGGAGGAGGGGGGCTGGCTCTGCCCCCAGTAATAAAAGTGAAAAATCTTGCAGGCAGAATTCAAATGAGAGATTAGGTAAACTGTAGTAAAAAGCAGAAATTTAGAACAATGCCTTTGTAAGTTTTTCCTTACAAAAGTGAAAAAAGAGAAAATAAGACCGTCATCCACATCTCAGGTGACAAGGAAGTGAGGCCGTGGGCAAGACTGTGCCTCTAGAGTTATCCATTCGTGAAGTGGGAGGAGAACAGGAAGTGAAGAACCCATGAGCTTATGGAGTGGGTTGTGGCAGCTAATAAGGGGAGCAAGGGGACCCTGAAGATGGTTCTGTGCCTGAGAGGAGGCCCCATGTGGATAGGAGATCACCTGCCGGGTAGCTTTCCAGCCAGAATCATCTGCTGTCACTGGTGTGCTTTTAAAACCTTCCAGAAAAATGAGATATCCTCTGGTATGAAGACAGTGAGATTGAATTTGCTGAATATTTTCCTGGGTAAACAATTTCTTTTCTGCTTACTAATTCAGAAAACACACCACCAACAATATTTATATAGTTTATAGACAAAGAAAGAAATCACATGTTCCTAACCGAAGGAGTTAGTCACCATCTTATGTGGTTTTCCATATATGTGTCATCAGACACTTTAGTATACCAAGAGAAAAACCTCTGCTTGACAGTTGCTGGGTTATTCCCTAACAAGCTAAAGCATTGTCAATTAACAATCGAGCAATGTGCATATCAGAAATATTCAAGTCTTCTTTAAACTCTCTGTGTAAATTTAAAAATTGTGTACTTTAAAAAATCCACAAAGCTGTGAAACTGAGGAGAGCTAAGTGTACATGTGTTTACACTACTAGGCAATCATTAGGAGCAAGTGATTATTGAAAATGTTTTCTTGAATAATAGTATTAGAGCATCAAGTCAAAAGTTTTGTGGGCAGCAAACATCCTGAGAACTATGACATAGACATTTGTTAGATTAAAAGTGGGCCTTTGATATGGCAATTTTTCATTTTTCTTGTCTTTACAACTACAAGAACAATAAGAAACATATCATATATTTTAACTCTGTGCCGGCATTATCCTAAGCCTGTTACATTCCCTCAGTACTTCTCTGGGGTAGGTTCTAGTCTCATTATTCCAGTTTACAGACGAGGAGACTGAGAGTCCATGAGTAGAACACAGTGTCAGTAAAAGAGATAAAAGAGCTCTATATCTCCTTCCATTCCTTGCCAAGGGGCCTTGATTTAGTTTTCCCCTCAGTTCACCTCGTGTAATTATCCTTCCCGTGGCATTCCCTTTTGCCCACATAAATGCACAGGTGTCCTTTGGTTAACTTTATTTTCTAATTCAATCAGCGAGAGAAACACAGACATTATTCAGATCACTGATTTCCATTTTGCCATGTTGTATATAATTAAACACACATTTAAGAGATTTAGGCCAAACACTGGCCATCAATAATACCCCTGGAGATATTTACTTTAGCTTTAACATGTCCCTTGTTAGAAATTCAAAGTCTGTGACAAGATTATTGTCTTCAGTTGACCCACAAACTTCCAACTGCAAATAGCTGGGGTGCCTGCAGTTCCTACAGCTCCTGCAGGGTGCCATGCTCCGGGTTCCGCTTGTCCAGAGCCCAGCACAAATGAAAGTCAGAAAATTATCTTAAAAACACAACTAAAGGCAGATGCTTTGCCTCTGAGGTGGGGGACAAACAACAGAATCTCACCAAATGGGACATCCGACCTTCACCACGAGAGCCTGCCAACTTTGTGTAATATGGACAGTGTATCCGAGGTTCTGGTCAATGTCGGCTTTTCACTATGTGTTGATATCAGAGCTGGAACAGGAAATAACATGAATTGCTTCACATTTATGTTAAATATTAAGTAAATGCATAAAAAATGATTCCAAGTCAGCTCGCTGACATAATGTTATTTCCAGAAAGTGGGAGATTACAGTTTTGAAATATAACCGGAAGCCTTTCCCCCCCTCCCCATAAACAAATATGTATCAGTTAGTGCAGTGATGGGGATGGCGAGGCCTCAGGCACCCCGTAGAACATTTTGACATTAACGTTGATAGTCACTGCTAGGAAAACAGTTCTTAACGCCGCCTTTATTTACACTAAGTGGGCCAGCAATTCTGTGCCCCCGGGTATTCTCCAGATCTGGTTTGGGTTATTTTAATGTGATTTCAGAGAAGCCCGCCATGCCTCTTTTGTGGTGTTTTAATGATATTGTTGTGTTCCATCCTGTCGAATCAGCACCTTCAAAATAGAAGATGTTGAAACTCTGTTTCTGCAGTATCCCTAGGCAAGAACTGAAAGACCAGGTCACAAATTAACTTTTTTTTTTTTTTGTCACAAAATTTAAAATGAATACTTGTCTCTGTTCAGAAATTGAATGTGGAACAGTTTCTAAATTCTCTCCAGGAGTGTTGTCTACAGCTAGGTATTAAATTCATTATTATTACTGTTATTTCTAAACATCTGAGACTTGATTTCCCCCCCCCCCCCCAGGGTCCCCTGCCCTGACTGGAACTGGAACAATCAATGTCATCGTAGATGATGTCAATGACAACGTCCCCACTTTTGCCAGTAAGTTGTACTTTACGATTCCCGAAGATGCACCGACAGGAACAGACGTCCTATTGGTCAATGCCTCAGACGCGGACACATCAACCAACGCCATCATTAGGTCAGGGCCTTTTCCTCTGTACATTTTGATTTTTTTTTTCTCATTAAACATTAGACTTTGCATTAGATGAATATGATGCTCAACTTTGCCAGAAATGTCATCTTATTAACACATACCTGATTGTGGTAACCTGCTGTCGAATAGCCATCTAGACCTAGCGATGATTTGGTTAATGGTTCATTTTGTTTGTTACTAATTTCCTGTTTTAAAACTCACTTTGGGAAACTGGCAGTAATTAGTCTCTTCCCCCTGGCAGAGATGACTGAGTTAGGTAGGAGGCCTCAATGTATTTTTTTTTAATTAAGTAAACATTAATTGTGTTGCTAATATGAATAACATTGATGAACAAGACAAAGTTTCCATTTTCTTTGAGACTGCATTGTTTCAGACAGATATACAAGTACATTGAAAATAGGTAAGATTACTTCAGACAGGGAGGACAGCCTTGAAAATAAAACAGGATGATGCACTGGAGAGTGACAAGGACTTTTAGGTGTGAGTATTGTGGAAGGCCTGGACATCCGGGGCTGTTGGCTAGAAGTCAGCCCGGTGTGTTTAGGGAGGTTTGTGAGTCTGGACCAGAGTGAAGAAAGGGTCAGGGAGGGAGGCAGGGGCCACATCGTGTAGACCACATAAGGACCTTTAAGTCATGGTAAAGAATTAGGATTTTAAATTATGTGTTTTAAATGGGAAACTATTGATGGATTCTAATCAAGAGCAACATACACGGATTTGTATTTGGATTGGATTGGAGGAGGCAGAATTGCAGGAAGAGGATTTAGAGAGAAACCAGTGAGACCATTTAAGTGCTAATTAACAGGGGATTCTGACAAAATGGGGATCTAGCCCATGTGTGCCCTGGCAAGGTGTGTGTCCTGGCAAGGAATGGAGCCTGGAACCAGCTGGCAACCTTCTGGTGCATGAGGCCTTCTAGTAAATGGGATGATACTCATCTGAGCCACACCAGGCAGGGCTATTTTATTCTTAATATTGTCTTCTTTGCACAATGTCTGCAACATAATAGTGACTGGCACTGAAATGAATGCATTGAAGAATGATTCTAATATTTTTTTAGAACTTTAGCTTTTACTCAATTTTTCCCCACTTTTTTTTTTGTTTTGTTTTGTTTTTAAATTTAAATTCTTTGTTTAAAGTATTACTATGTCTCCTTTTCCCCCCATTGACCTCTTGCCACCGGGTTCCGCCCCCCCCCCCCCCCCCCCCCCCCCCGCACGTGCCCTCACCCCCCTACTGTCTGTGCTCATTGGTTGTGCTTATGTGTGCATGAATGTAAGTCCTTTGGTTGGTTCTAACCCCCCCCCCCCTTCCCACCCTCCTCTGCCTTCCCTCTGAGATTTGAATGTCTGTTCCCTGATGTTTTTGAGAGGGTGGATTACAACCTCACATTTTCTCCAGTCATATTTTCTTGCCAATTTCTCAATCTGCTTTTTCTCCATTGCTTTACAAAAAAAAAAAAAAAAAAAAAAAAAAAAAAAAAAAAAAAGATGCTATCTAAAGATTCTACTGAAATTTATCAAGAGCAGTGACTTTCTGAGTCTTTAGTCTCCTTTACCTATTGCAATATTTCCATTACAGGTCTGCTTTCTTTTTTTGGCATTGTTTTCCTCCTAATGTCTGTATAAATGTTTCTTATTTCTCACTCTGTGTTTCTGACCATATTTTCTAATTTGCCTTCTATTTATGCATTTTTAATTTACTTTATTGTTAAAAATATTACATATACTCCCTCTTTCCCTCATTGACTCCCTCCAACCTGCTCCCACCCCCTTCCCAGGCCTTTATCTGTGTCCATGAGATTTGCTGACTAGATCTTCTCTCTCTCTCTCTCTCTACAAAGTAATTTGGACATTCCTCACAGCATTTTTTCAGTCCTTGTTTCCTCTCTCTCTCACTCTCTCTTTCGCGCTCTCTCTCCCTCAAAGAGAGAGAAAGAAAAGCATCCCTTTCCATCACACAAAACACTATGCAGAAATGTAGACAACTTCTAAATTCGTTATCTATGACTCCATCCCAGACATCCCCACCTACATTAATAACTCTCTAGAAGACACCTTTACCTGGCATCTGTTAGCATCATAAGTGCAACACATCAGAAATTCCTAACCAATCCTGCTTCTCATCTTGGCATTCTCCTTCCTCTTAATTTTGTTGCCTTACCTTCTTCATCCATGTTTGATGGCTATGGGTTATCATTTCTCCTCTACTTAGTCAGTAGGCAAGTACTCATATTTCTCCTTTTCTAATGCTTCTGATACTCATTCTTTTCTACGCATTCCTCCTGCCAAGACTCTAGTTCTGTCCATAATTACATCATGCCTGGACTATTACAATAAAAATTATCTTACTTTCCTGGCTCTGGTTTCTTATCCCTCCAATCAATATACTATACTATACTATACTATACTGTATAACTTTGGAGCTCTTACTATGATGTTAAGTTCTGAGGAATTAGATGATCCCATAGGAGGATAATGTGATATAGGAGGTAATTTTTTTTTAATCTTGTAATGATAGTACTTTATAACAAGTATAGTTTAAGCACAGAAGGGTGGAAAGAACAGCATAGTTAGTGCGACCTGAGGAAATCAGTAGAAGCTTCAAGTAACCGATGATTTTGGAGAAAGAAAGAGAAGTAATTTGTGTAAGGCATGCTAGACAAAGACAGTAACAGGTACAAAGGCAAAGAGCCATGCAGAAGCATCCCATCAGAGAAGCTCTTCATAGCGTGGAGTGGCTTAGGAAGGGCCTTGTTTACCAAGGGAACAGTTCCCATCTCTTTCTGCACCTAATGGGAGAGACCACCGAAGTGTTTTTAGCTGGGTAATCACATGACTGGTTTCCCTTTATGAAAATTCCTCTATCGATGTAGGAGGTTATTTGAATGAAGCAAAGACTGACTCAGGGAGTGACAGGGCAGTGGCAGCAATATGAACTAGCTGGGCATCTAGTGGCTCAGCTTTCACAAGGATCTGTTCCTTCCTCGGAATCTTCAACCTCCCGTTTGCTGTCTCCATATTGCACTCTCTGCATAAACAGCCCCAGGATCCCCCATGGATTCCCACATATAGCCAATCCTTCAGCTTCACTAGATGGCCTTCTGCTCCTGGGAAAAGGATCTGTGCTTCCCTGGCCTTAGGGCTTTGTCCTGGTCTTTCTATTTCCTGGGCCAGGGTTCTGCAAACTGTGGCCAGCAGGCCCAATTCATCTCAGGGTCTGCTTTTGTAAATAAAGTGTGATTGGAGCTTCGCCTCACCCATTCACCTACTTATCGGCTGAGGCAACTTTTATACTAAATTGTGTACCACAGCAGAGATCTTACAGCCTGCAAAGCTGAGAATATTTACTACCTGGCCCTTTACAGGGACAATTTCCTGGCCTAGAACACCTTCTTTCTCCCTCTTCAACATTATTGTAAGATGGGCAACCCCCTTAGCACGGAGCTTGGATTTACTATCCTCCAAAGAAGGCTTCATTTTAATCATTCCAGTCAAAGGTGTTCTCTGTCTTCTGGACACCTGGAGCAGTGCTTCTGCGCGGTTTCTTAGCACTTATACATAACCGCCGTGGTTTGCGTTTACTTTCCTACATGCCTTCCTTCCATTTAGGATGTAAGCTTGAGGACAGAATTTTTACCCACTTATCCATGTCTCTACTAGTCCATCTACCACTTAACTAAATACATAGATGGTTTATAATAGATTAAAGCAGGTCCTTGAGTAGCATCATTTCCTTCAGGTTGTTTTATTAGAACATTGATAAGATGTCCTGGGAACCTAACACTTGTTTGTCTCAATTAGTCTGCGGTAAAATTGGTTTTGTTCTTTACTGTTTTGCCTAAAATCAGTGTCCAAGAAACCATCAATGGTGTTACATGAGGATTTACTGTATATATACTATGTATATATACTACGTATATATAAGTCTAGACTTATATATACTATGTTTATATAAGTCTAGACTTTGAATTATTATCATGTATCAATTATATTGACACATGCTTATCATATGAATGATATTTAGTACAGAAAACTACCAAATGAAAGGAATCCATTTTTGCCTTTATTTTTTTAAATACCAGTTCTCCAACAGTTTATAGTTTCTCTAAAAAAATGATGAACATGCTGAAATGAGTCTTTTAATCTGTGAGCTTAAAGGGAGGAACATGCACTCTGCCGGCTGCAGTGTAGGTTTTTCCTGCTGTTCCTGTGAGACACATGCTGTTGCTATGTTTTTATGAACGCAAACCAAACTACAGAAACACGCACCTAATTCCAGCAAGGGCATTTCGTTGTTGGTCTAAAGGAGAAAGCTTTTAAAGACATCTATTTCTTTGCTACCTCCGACCTTAGAAATGATGGACCCCAGCCAATTTCTGAACCTTCAAGCTTCGGGACTTTTTCCCTAGCAGATCTCTCAGGAATATATGCAGATAGCTTTCCTCTCCAGAAAGAAGAGAGAAGCTATTCTCAGTGGAAAATCCTGTCTGTTAACCAATCTGGTTAGCATCAACATATCCATGGAGATGTCCTACTTCTCCTGACAACAAGAAAGCAGAGCCGCATGGCCATGGGAGGAATGAAAAATGAGAGAACTAGTAACTAGGAATGTCTCTGTGTAAATAATCAGTTCTTTAGTTGTTCTGGATAGTCGATGTGTATCAAATACAGTGTTTTCATCTTGAAAGAGCAGCCCTCAACTGCTCTTCCCTGGGACATTATGGCACACAGCAGAAAAATAATTTTTAGATTCATTTAACAGATGTTCATCTGTGATCCTGGCCATTAACCACACTATTAGAATAATGCCCTGATTTTTGCTTTCTGGCTCTTCTATTTAAAAGACAATGGTCTTCTGAGTATATTTTGGGGTCTTGCATGATATAAGAAGCCCACAAAGCTTGTGAGGACCTGCTTGAGGTCATCGGACATCTCACAATCAAGAGTGTCAGTGTGATATTCACATAACATTTGAAAGATTTGTCTTCCAGCTGTATTTTTTTCATTGTTGTGTGATCTGACTTGTCATGTCTTTGGTTACATTTCTGCCAGTTTTTAAATTACAGTAAATGGGTACTATCATGTCGTACCTAAAAGGAACCTGCCATCTCTGCTTTCTGCTTTAGTTATAGGCTCATCGGTGGAAACTCTCAGTTCACCATCAACCCATCCACAGGACAGATCATCACCAGTGCGCTGCTGGACAGGGAGACGAGAGAAAATTATACCTTAGTGGTGGTTTCCAGTGATGCTGGGTCCCCGGGGCCTCTTTCCAGTTCCACCAGCGTGCTGGTCACCGTGACTGATGTCAATGACAATCCACCAAGATTTCAACATCACCCATATGTCACACACATCCCATCGCCCACTCTTCCAGGTAATCACATGATGCATTAGACATGTCCTATAAAACACATTCCTTTCATTTTTACATGTATAGCTTTGATATAGCCTATGCTTGCAAATCCTCTGAAATTCAACTTGTTTTGCCTAACAAAACTAAAGGAACATTGAATCTCAAAAATTAATTCCTTCTTCATCAACCAATTGTGTTTGAGATTTTATAATGGCCATATCTTTCCTAGTACTATTTCTTACTAGGACTTGAATATTATTAGGTGATTAAAATACATATGACTTGTAGTCAGGTGGGGTTCTGCCTGGAGATCTAATTTGTAAGTTCCCTGAGAGGAAGGACAGGTCTCTCTTTGTTTCATGCCATATCCCAGTGCCTGGAACATTATCTGGAATTGATAAGAATTCAGCTATATTCGTGGGTAGAAAATGAATATTTTACTTTAATGCTTCATAGGTAGATTTTTAAATGTTTAATGAATGAATAATTCTAATTAATTCTTATCATTAATAAATTTTATTCCAGTTTTGAGGGTTGCAGGTCTATTTGTTAGTAAGTTTATGGAGCCATTAATGAGCCACTTTCATGCTGACAGCATGCATTTATCATTCTGCATCTCTTTCAAATTTAGTTTGCTTTTTTTGCAAAGAATGGCACACTCTCTTCAGAACCACACAAATCATCTGCCATGTGCAGTTTCTGAGATGAGTTTTCAAACGAGAATAAACACAACTAAAGACCAGGATTCATTTAAATCTTCCTTGCTTTAAAATATTTTTAATTAGAAGAAAGAAAGAAATGGATCCAGGATTCCTCCTCTCAGTGGTCTTTGATCTTCTATGCACTCGAGAATGTATAATTAATACCAATTGAAGGTATAATATCCATAAAATTTTGCCAACTTTCTATTAAAAGGAAACGTTGATATCAAAGTTGTAAGTCCCAGCTTAAGGCCTTTAGCTGAAATGATGCTGGCAGACATGACTCTAATCACATCTAGTATTCGGTGATGCAATATCCATCTCCTACACAAAGTGAGGGACACGCCAGCATCTTTTCCTCATTAGACACCATTAATCAGGATCACTGGCTTTTTTTTTTTTTTTTTTTTTTTTTTTTAATAAAAGACTTTTCTGTTTTGTCACAGACTCTTTGGTAGGGCTGGGAGTGCAGGTTTGGGAAAGATTTCTGAATGAGAATATCAAAAACATGTCCTTCTGGCAGCTCCCCTGCATATTTTTCCTACAATCTGTTTTGTTGGCACTCGTCCCAAGCACTGACTTTTGGAATCCACATTGGGTCCATTCTTTCTCAGTTCCTATTTCTTACTACTTTATAATTGTTCAAGTCGAATTATAGACTTATATGTATATCTATGCTTACATTTTGTCTTCATGGCATAACAGCTCATAAGTAAAAGAATTTTACTATAAAACAATAGACATAGGAATCAACAGTGATTTTTTAAGCATATTATTTTTGTGGTCATCATTACATATATGGTAATTGAGACTGTTTTAATACATAAAAAAACAATTATCTTTTTCATGGGGTAACAGCACAGCTGTTAGCACAGTGCATGTTACAATCCTGTGGGCTGGGAGTGGTATGATGTGCAGATTGATCTCCCAGGAACTATAATTCGGAAGGATTAGCCATTGCTCTTCCCTGTGCTCCTCTCAAAGGCATACTGCAGAATATTAAATCCAGTAGACCGCATGGGCTTTAGTTAGGAAATGGCAGGTCAGTCCCTAAAGACGATTTGATTTTGCAACTTCCGGGACAATAGAGGAGGTACCATCCTCCCCTAGGAATTGTGAGAAATAACATTACATCAGGTAGAAATAGTGTTTTCTATGCATTCACCTACTACCCTATGTTCTGTTTGGGTTCCCCGTGATTCTCACTGCACCCTCACTCATTCCTAGGTGCCTTCGTCTTTGCGGTTACAGTCACGGATGCTGACATCGGACCCAATTCTGAGCTGCATTACTCTCTGTCGGGGAGAAACTCTGAGAAATTTCACATCGACCCGCTGCGGGGAGCTATCATGGCAGCCGGGCCGTTGAATGGGGCTTCGGAAGTGACATTCTCTGTCCATGTGAAAGACGGCGGCTCGTTTCCAAAGACGGATTCCACCACGGTGACTGTTAGGTTTGTGAACAAGGCAGATTTCCCCAAAGCCAGGGCCAAAGAACAGACTTTCATGTTTCCTGAGAACCAGCCGGTCGGCACGCAGGTCACCACTGTCACGGGGTCCTCCCTGAGAGGGGAACCTTTGTCTTATTACATCGCAAGTGGGAACCTTGGCGGCACATTCCAGATTGATCAGTTAACGGGGCAGGTGTCCATTAGTCGGCCTCTGGATTTTGAAAAGATGCAAAAGTATGTGGTGTGGATAGAGGCCAGAGATGGAGGTTTCCCTCCTTTCTCCTCTTATGAGAAACTCGACATAGCCGTATTAGATGTCAACGATAATGCCCCGATTTTTAAGGAAGATCCATTCGTAGCTGAAATATTGGAAAACCTTTCTCCTCGAAAAATACTTACTGTCTCAGCAACGGACAAGGACAGTGGGCCCAATGGACAGTTAGATTATGATATTGTTAATGGCAACAAAGAACACAGTTTCAGCATCGATCATGCCACTGGGGAAATTAGAAGCATCCGGCCTCTAGACAGGGAAAAGGTGTCCCAGTATGTGCTCACCATAAAGTCCTCAGACAAAGGCTCCCCTTCTCAGAGCAGCTCAGTCAAGGTCATCATTCACATTTTAGATGAAAATGATAATGCCCCAAGGTTTTCTCAGATCTTTAGTGCCCATGTTTCTGAAAACTCCCCACTAGGATACACAGTTACACGTGTCACGACTTCTGATGAAGACACTGGGGTAAATGCCATCAGCAGATATTCTATCATGGACACGAGCCTCCCATTTACCATTAATCCCAGCACAGGGGATATTGTCATTAGTAGACCTTTAAATAGAGAAGATACCGACCGTTACAGAATCCGAGTCTCTGCACATGATTCCGGCTGGACTGTAAGTACAGATGTCACGATATTTGTGACAGATGTCAATGACAATGCTCCGAGATTTAGCAGGCCCTCCTATTATTTAGATTGCCCCGAACTTGCTGAAATCGGCTCCAGAGTGACGCAGGTGTCCGCAACCGATCCTGATGAGGGGTCAAATGGACAAGTGGTTTATTTTATAAAATCTCAGTCAGAGTATTTCAGGATTAATGCCACCACAGGAGAGATTTTCAATAAACAGATCTTGAAATACCAAAACGTCAGCGGCTTCAGTAACGTGAACATCAACAGACACAGTTTCATAGTGACATCTTCCGACCGAGGTAATCCTTCCCTCCTCAGCGAGACCACCGTCACCATCAACATCGTGGATAGTAATGACAATGCACCCCAATTTCTTAAAAGTAAATATTTCACTCCGGTCACCAAAAACGTGAAAGTTGGTACCAAGTTAATCAAAGTTACTGCAGTAGACGATAAAGATTTCGGGTTGAATTCTGAAGTGGAGTATTTTGTGTCCGGTGAAAATCATTTGGGGAAATTTAAGTTGGACAATAACACAGGGTGGATTTCCGTAGCGTCTTCCCTCATCTCTGACTTGAATCAAAACTTTCTGATCACTGTCACTGCCAAGGATAAAGGAAACCCTCCACTTTCATCCCAAGCAACGGTTCAAATCATTGTCACGGAGGAAAACTACCACACTCCGGAATTCTCTCAAAGCCACATGAGTGCCACCATCCCAGAAAGCCACAGCGCTGGGGCCGTTGTCAGAACGGTTTCTGCAAGAGACAGAGATGCAGCGATGAATGGCCTGATTCGATACAGCATTTCTTCCGGAAATGAAGAGGGCATTTTTGCCATCAATTCCTCCACAGGTGTCTTGACGCTAGCCAAAGCTCTTGATTACGAGCTCTGCCAGAAACATGAGATGACTATCAGTGCTACTGATGGCGGGTGGGTGGCAAGGACAGGTTACTGCAGTGTGACTGTCAATGTGCTCGATGTGAATGACAATTCTCCAGTGTTCCTCCCTGAGGAGTATTTCCCCACTGTTTTGGAAAATGCCCCAAGCGGGACCACCGTTATCCACCTCAATGCAACGGATGCTGACTCTGGCACCAACGCTGTGATTGCATACACTGTACAGTCATCTGACAGCGACCTCTTTGTCATTGACCCCAACACGGGCGTCCTCACCACTCAAGGCTTCTTGGATTTTGAAACCAAGCAGAGCTACCACCTCACTGTGAAAGCTTTCAATGTCCCCGATGAGGAAAGGTGCAGTTTTGCCACGGTTAATGTACAATTAAAAGGGACAAATGAATATGTGCCTCGCTTTGTTTCCAAACTCTACTATTTTGAAATCTCAGAAGCGGCTCCTAGAGGTACGATTGTTGGAGAAGTCTTTGCCAGTGACCGGGACTTGGGCGTTGACGGGGAGGTACATTATTTGATTTTTGGAAACAGTAGGAAGAAGGGTTTCCAGATCAATAAGAAGACTGGACAGATTTACGTGTCTGGACTTCTTGACAGAGAGAAAGAAGAAAGGGTATCTTTGAAGGTATTGGCCAAGAATTTTGGCAGCATTCGGGGTGCAGACATAGATGAGGTCACTGTGAATATCACTGTGCTCGATGCCAATGACCCGCCCATCTTCAGTTTAAATGTCTACAGCGTTCAGATCAGCGAAGGGGTCCCGACAGGAACGCACGTGACCTTTGTCAGCGCCTTTGACTCAGACTCGGTCCCCAGCTGGAGCAGGTTCTCTTACTGCATCGGGTCAGGGAACGAAAACGGCGCCTTTTCCATCAACCCGCAGACGGGCCAGATCACGGTAACTGCGGAGCTGGATCGAGAGACCCTCCCCGTCTATAACCTGACCATGCTGGCTGTTGATTCAGGGACCCCCTCCGCCACAGGGAGCGCCACTCTCTTAGTCACCCTGGAAGACATAAACGACAACGGGCCGCTGCTGGCCATCCGGGAAGGAGAAGTTATGGAAAACAAACGCCCGGGCACCCTGGTGATGACCCTTCAGTCCACCGACCCGGACCTCCCTCCCAACCAAGGCCCCTTCACCTACTACCTGCTGAGCACGGGGCCCGCCACCAACTATTTCAGCCTGAACACCGCCGGCGTGCTGAGCACCACCAGGGAGATCGACCGGGAGCAGATCGCAGACTTCTACCTGTCCGTGGTCACCAGGGACTCCGGGGTGCCTCAGATGTCCTCCACGGGGACCGTGCACATCACCGTGGTGGACCAGAACGACAACCCCTCCCAGCCTCGGGCGGTGGAGATCTTTGTTAACTACTACGGCAACGTGTTCCCCGGGGGGCTGCTGGGCTCTGTGAAGCCGCAGGACCCCGATGTGCTGGACACCTTCCACTGCTCCCTGACCTCGGGGGTGACCAGCCTCTTCAGCGTCCCCAGGGGCACGTGTGACCTGCATTCCCAGCCGAGGTCCACCGACGGCACGTTCGACCTGACCGTCCTCAGCAGCGACGGCGTCCACAGCGCGGTCACCAGCAGCATCCGCGTCTTCTTCGCCGGCTTTTCCAACGCCACCATCGACAGCAGCATCCTCCTGCGGCTCAGCGTGCCGTCGGTGAGGGACTTCCTGACCAACCACTACCTTCCCTTCCTGCGCATCGCGGGCTCGCAGCTCACGGGCCTGGGCACCGCCGTGCAGCTCTACGGGGCCTACGAGGAGGACAACCGGACCTTCGTCTCCGCGGCCGTGAAGCGGGGCCACAACCAGTACGTGAACCCCAGCGGGGCGGCCACCTTCTTCGAGAGCATCAAAGAGGTGCTCCTCCGGCAGAGCGGGGTGAGGGTGGAGTCCGTGGACCACGACCCGTGCGCCCGCGGGCCGTGCCAGAACGGGGGCAGCTGCCTCCGGAGGCTGGCCGTGAGCCCCGCGGTCCGGAGCCACGAGAGCCTCCCGGTCATCGTCGTGGCCAACGAGCCTCTGCAGCCGTTCCTGTGCCAGTGCCTGCCGGGCTACGCGGGCAGCGGGTGCGAGACCGACATCGACGAGTGTCTCCCGTCCCCTTGCCACAACGGCGGCACCTGCCACAACCTGGTGGGAGGGTTTTCCTGCAGCTGCCCCGACGGCTTCACCGGGAGGGCCTGCGAGCGAGATGTCAACGAGTGCCTGCCCAGCCCTTGTAAGAACGGCGCCGTCTGCCAGAACTTCCCCGGGGGCTTCCACTGCGTCTGCAAAACCGGGTACACAGGTACGTGGTGATGCTCGGCTCTTGTCATTACTACGACGTTAGCCATGTCAGGTGAGGTACGATAGAAGGGAATGAATACTTTTCTTTTTTTCTTTTTTTGTTTTTAAGTAATTTTTTTTTTTTACTTAACAATGGTATAAGCATTGAAAGTGCTTTCAGCGTCTCCCGTTGGCCAGATACTGTTCCAGGCCTTTGCTCTGTGCTTATTTTATTTACTTCTGATAAGAAACCTACGCAGCAGGGCTAATTATTTTGTATAGGCAAGAAGACTGAAGTACGGAGAAGTGAAGTCTGTTTTCTAAGGTGGCTCAGTGGATTTGTTATATAGAGCTGGGACCTAAGTGAATTCCAGAGTTGCAACTGATCTTCAATTTCCCCATCTGTGAAATGCTTATTTATCTCTTAGGGTTGTTTTAATAAATTAAAATAAGGTTTATAAAACACCTAGCACCAATCCACTCAGTAAGTAGCAATGGCAATAAGTAGTGTTCGTAGAGGTGCTAGTGTAATAATGGTGGTAATAGAGGGGAGCCACAGAATCACTAAGAAACCTCAGTGGCTCAAGGTAGATGTGAGTCTTACCAGAGCTGTAGTCTTAGGATCATGAATAATAGGGCTATATACATGTTAGGAGTTCAGGATTTCGAAAGAAAAAAACAAAACAAAACCTACACTCCTCCACCCGCCCTTTACCCTCACCCCTCTAACCTCCCCCCTCACCCCATCTCAAAAAAGTTGCTTCTTCTACTGGGAATGTAACAGTAAAGATTGCTACTTGTCCCATTTTGGTGTAACAGACTCCTTCACACTTAGATTTAGAGTGAGTTCACACACAGCCTGAGCATGGAGAAAGTGTGAATGCGTTTGATAGGTGACAGGGATCAGGGAAAGTCCCGTGGGTGGGAGCCAGGGCACCGTATGCGGATTTCAGCATAAATGGGGCTGACTTCGTGACTGGTCCTGGAAGGAGCCCTTTCACATTGTTTCTCCCTAGTTTGCTTCATCAGGAGGCACGGCATTATAAAGCTCAGCAGGTAACCAGAGTGAGTTCACAGCCCCTTTCACCTTCCCGCTTGCTTTCACACACCTGGAGGCATTTTCGCTGTGGTGTATGCCAGCCCTCGCATTTCAGGGAGGAGGAGATTGTCCATTCCTCACTCTTATGTTATTTGACTGTATAAATAGGATATTTTTCCAGATCTATGAAGTTAGATACAGCTTGTGCACAGTCATTTTACTATGAATCTTGGCAACCGTTTGCAGTTATGACAATGGGAGTGATAAGAGTCACTCTCTTAAAATCACAGCAGTCGTGTATTAAGTCCTCAGTGACCACAAGACCAGGAAACCATTGTGATATGAAGTGAAATTTTCTGAGATACTGAGGAGTATGTGGTTCATATGAATAAGAGAAGGTAAAAGCCTCGATTCATATTTTGATTTTTTTTTTCCAGAAGGGAATTAGACAGTTTACCTTAAGTGATACATTACCCTATTAAAGTGTTAAAAACAGGTTTCTAGTAGCTGAAATGCTTCTTATTTCTGCAGAAAATGAGCATGTATTTGTAAGCTTCTCATGGAGATTATGTATGTCATTATACATGATCACCTGCAGCCTCACTGAGATTGTATTTGTATGTGCTTTAAAATACAAAGGCTGCCCAGCCAGTGTAGCTCAGTAGTTGAGCATTGACCTTTGAACCAGGAGTTCAAGGTTCAATTCCTTGTCAGAGCACATGTCCTTGTTGTGGGCCCAATCCCCAGTGTAGGGATGTAGGAAGTAGCCAATCAATGATTCTTTTTCATCATTGATGCTTCCATCTCTCTCTCCCTTCCTCCCTGAAATCAATAAAAATAAAAACTATATATATAGGCAGAACAGTTTTTCCCCTCATAGCTTTTCTCTGTAGCAGCCCTTATTAAACATGATATTTTTGCATTGTTTTGATATAAAAGACATACTGCTGTTTGAACAGAATATTTAGATTAACTGTCTTCCTATTACATTGTACAATAAGGGGAAACATTTACATAGTATGCAGAAAACAGCTACTTTCTGCTAAAATAATTAAAAGCTTATAAGCATAAATATTCAGAATAAATAGCATAGATGCATTATGGAATTGTATTTTTAGCAAAATTAATTTAGATATAAATAGGCTTTGATAGTTGTACATAATCTCCCTTCTCTGTGTATAAATATGAAATGCAAAAATTCTTGTGGTGATATAACATATACATATATTTCATATATGTGTATATGATATTAAAGCATACATGAGCTATAGGATATCAAGAATCATCCTACCCTCATCAGTTGGCTGAATTGAACAGGTGGGAAGAATAAATGTAGCTCAGCTCTATACAATCTAACATTCAAATGTGCTATCAGTACAAGTGAAACTCCGGTATACATCCTGTTATAAAGACCACAGGTGACCACCATAGATTCAATTGGAGTTTAGCAATGCACCACACCTACCTCCGAACATGAAGACATTTGCTAAATTTCTACAGTAAGCTTACTGTAATCTTGGAAATTCCACGAGTATCTTACCTAGCCTCTTGTTATGCATTCATTTCCATCGTCCACAATTCCCATTCTCAGGTGCTTAGAGCTTACACTTCCAGAAGCACGATTCCTTCTACCTATGAGGAATAGTGTATATCAGCACAACTCATTGATGGACGTCAAAGCAGTGAGATCGGTTTATTCTTCTAGGCAGCTAACAGCTAACATATGACAGCTAATGAGTTTTAATAGGAGAGGCTCCTTGAGTTCCAAAGACATGGATGCCTTTCTTTGTGCAAGCCCTGTCAGTGTCTTCCAAGCCTCGAGGCACTGACAAATACTGTTAGCTGGCTTGCAGCGGTAATTAAGTTAATGATCCAAGATTTTGTTTCATGGTGCTTCAACACATCAAGTTATTTTTGCCAGAAGCATGTTAGTGCAATTCAAACTGCTGCATTCCCTGATAATCACCATGCCATTAACACTAGAACTGAAGTCGATGCAAAATAATACGGATTGCAGTGCTGACTTTAGTTGGGTGAGTGCGCATGCATGAATCTTCCAACCTGAGACATAGGTGTTTATGAGATTTCTTTTGATTTGAAGTAAAATTATAACATCTTTCCCTCACATTAAAAAAAAAAGGCTTTTTTGAATAATTTTAAGTAGAGTTTTCAAATTGTATCTTCAAATCTCCATTTCTAGTATGGCAACCACTTTCACATGTACTAATTGTAAAACAATTAGCTGATTAAGTGGAGTACTCAAACAAAATTTTTTAATGGTAAATAATTTACATACTCTAACACCCTACAAATAAGACTAGTTTCCTCCAAACATAATTATAAATTAATTTGACTCCTACCAAAGTCATTTCTTGAAATTTTTAAATAATTATTAATATATACCAAGAAAAAATAAGTAAACAAAAACAATTTTAAATTAAAAGCTTACAAGTTGAATTTCTTCTCTTATAGTTTGTATTTATATTGTTATATCTGCAAAAAATCAGATTCTGTTGAGAATTTATTTTAACTTCATTCTCAAACCACTCTTTTGGTTCCCCTTTGACCCCCCAATTCTAGCTTCACAAAGGGAAGTCTGTAATTTTGTAAATGTTTGCATGCATGTTTTCACAAAATAAAGGTGATACTGACCACATCTATAAAGTATATTAATCTATGTATTCAATACATGCTACTTTTATTGCAACTCTAAAAGGATTTTTAAAAATATATATATTTTATTGATTTTTTACAGAGAGGAAGAGAGAGAGATAGAGAATTAGAAACATCAATGAGAGAGAAACATCCATCAGCCGCCTCTTGCACGCCCCCTACTGGGGACGTGCCCGCAACCAAGGTACATGCCCTTGACCGGAATCGAACCCAGGACCTTTCAGTCTGCAGGCCAAGGCTCTATCCACTGAGCCAAACCGGTTTCGGCTCTAAAAGGATTTTTTTAAAAAGAGCACAAAACCTTACTGAGTCCAGTAACACATAGGAATGCTCTTATAGTGGGGGAAATGGTAGAAGTTGTGACTTTCCTCATAGCAAATACATAATCAAAAGTATAGCCAATAGGTCTCATTTATTCTCTATGGGGCAATACTGATGTTTTGTTAAGAAAAAGAATCCCCTTCATTAGAATAATCTGTCTCACATTCAGTGGGAAAACACCATAGGAGCGAGTTCTCTATGACACAGCATGCCTCTGGTGTAATGTTTGGACAGGCTTAGGTAACATTGTCCTGCCTGTGACACGTTATTACAATACTTAAAGCATAATTTCTGTGCTTCCATAGTGGTAATTATGTTCATTACTTCCCCTTAGAATAAGAAGTATTCTGAAATTGTTGGTGCTTTGCCTTGTAAGGAGGTTCCCAATGTTATTTATAAAAGGAAAAATGTTGTGTTTATGACCCCATGAAGTAGAGGAACATTTCTGTGAGCAGTGTCATGAGGTCTGACTCACACTTGTCATTTCAAACCAGAACGATTGTGGCTGCATACTCAGGCCACAAAAACATAAGTAAATTAAACAGAAACTTTGACTGTTTTAAACATGGTGATGAAGTGGACTATCGGTGCTCAACATTAAGTTTAATTGTGCACATAAAACTTACATGTTTTCATAAGACAGTTAATGAAAGCACTAGTGCAGTCATGCTTTATAGAAACAAACTCTATTTAATTAGATAAATAGTGAAACCCTCCTGTCAATGAATGGAAATTAAGACATCGATAATATCACATTGAAAATTTCTTCACCATTTATGATTTCCCTAAAAATAGTGTTTATTTTAAAATGTATGTGTAATTATTTTCTAAATATTATAATGCATATCTTTACACTAGGACAATTATATAAGATTTTGAACTCTCAGATAAATTTCAATCTCCCCAAGTCAAGTAGAATGGTCTCATATTCCTTTTCTTTAAGATATAATCTCTCAGGGGAGATTTCTAATATGGTTATGTAGTGGTGCTGTTAATAAGATTTTTTAAATGAGCTTGATGCTTTTCAGGGAAAATGTGTGAATCTTCAGTCAATTACTGTGAATGCAACCCCTGCTTTAATGGTGGTTCCTGCCAGAGTGGTGTGGAGTCCTACTATTGCCACTGTCCCTTTGGTGAGTACGGCTCTGCTGGCCATAGAAAATGTCAGTCTATTTTGACTCACAGTTTAGCAATTTTGTTTTATTGTGGCCCCGAGTGATTAAGATGATATGAAATGTTTACACAGGAGATTTTGGCAAAATAAAATCTCAAAGGTTTAACATTCTTAAAAGTTAATTATGGAAATCCCATTGAATATATTGCTTTGATCATTACTAGAAAAATAATCAACTGAAGATAATTGAATTTGATGTTGTGTTCTCAGGACATTTCCCCTCAATACTTACTGCTGTCTTCTTTTCAGCCTAGAACTGATCATGTGAAAAAACCTTTCAGCCACTATTGGGCATCATTCTCTATTTCAAATCTTTAAAAATAATCCTCAAAATGATTTTTGTTTTGTTTTGCTTCTGTTTTTTACATTAATTCAAACAGTTGTGTGAGAAGGATTTATAGGCATTTTGTAGATAGTATCAACAAAACTAATCAAAATTCAGGCTAATGTGGTGTTCTTTTGAAGAAGAAAGTTGTTACTTTTTTTTTGTACACGTACCTATCTATTCACCACAGTGACATGAATGAAAGGATTCCTTCCAGGTGTCACTCAAATGTTGCCAGGCACTGAAACAGCCAAGGACTATGAGTAAAGCTTTGGAGGAAGCTTTCATTTGACCTTGGTTTGTGAACATTACATCAATTAAAAAAAATTATTGATTTTTAAAGAGAGGGAAAGGAAAGGGATAGAGAGATAGAAATGTTGATGAGAGAGAAACATTGATCGGCTGCTTCCTGCACGACTCCTACTGGGGATCAAGTCTGCAACCCGGGCATGTGCCTTGACCAGAATCAAACCAGTGACCTCTTGGTTCATGGGTCAACGCTCAACCACTGAGCCATACCAGCTGGACCATTCCATCAATTTAAAGGCTGACTTAATTCACACTATAGTATTCATCTCCAAATGCCTTGCAGTAATTAGAGACCCTCTATAAGCAAAAGAGGAGAAGGATATTTTCTGGTCTTTCTTTGGACATATTACTGTGGACCTAAAAAATAAATTCTAATGTATAGTACAGAATAGAACTTAAAAATAAACTCAGGTTTCTAGTAGCCAGTGGAATATATTGCTAATTGGTTTTCACATAAGTCCAGGACTCCTTCTAGTTTTTATACAGCACATCAATGAATGATAAAGAAATACAAGATATGAAAATACCTTATTGTGAGCCAGGCATTTTAGCAATGGTTCTGAGTCCCAGACACTGAGGGTTTTGTCTAAAGTAAAAAAAAACAAACCCACAAAATCAGTCCTAACCAGTTTGGCTCAGAGGGTAGAGTGTCGACCTATGTATGGACTGAAAGGTGCCAGGTTGGATTAGGATCAAGTGCATGCACCTTGACTGTGGGCACATCCCCAGTAGGAATTGTGCAGGAGGCAGCTGATCAATGTTTCTCTCTCATCGATGTTTCTAACTCTCTATCCCTCTCCCTTCTTCTCTGTAAAAAAATCAATAAAAAATGTTTTTTAAAATATCAAAACAAAATTACTACATAATAATTGGTAGAATTATTATGACTCTAGAGGCTACAGAGGCTAGAAATTTTTATTTTCAGTCCAGCATGACATTCATAGTATCCTCCTTTTTAAAATGTATGTGAGATGCTCACAAACAATGCTCATGATACAGGGAAAGGTAGATCAAGGTCAAAATAACCACAACTTTAGATCTACAATTTCTTTCTCTCAGTGATATCTTATAATCCTTAACGGGTGCTGTCTTCTGCTCATAATCACATTCAGATTGCATGGTTTAACTTAAGTTTTGGAATAAAAGATAAGGGGATTGGAGTGGAAAGTGGAAAAATGATTTCAAGTGACTGAACAAAGGTTGTTTACATTTTTAAAAATTTCTTTGCATCCCAATCACAAATATGAGGATTTAAGGTAATTGATAGGAAAGCAGAACAAACGGTTGCTGCAGTGTAGCTAATACAACAGTCACTGCCTATTGGGTGGAAGTTTTTTGGGTCCTCACCCTTTTAGAGCTCCCCAGGGAAAGGTGACTAGTGTGACCACATAAATTAAAAGAGAGATGGAACATATGTGGCTGGCAGTACAAATTTCTCTCCTTGCTCCTAACAGTGGCAAAGAAAAAAAATTATTTAGACTTAAATATTGTCAGACAATAACAGGACTTACAAAACAAAACAACGAAACCTTGAAACAGTAATACATGATTACAGACAGAAAGAATTGAAAGGAAAAGCATTTTCATTTTCATATTGAATGTGGGTGAAACATACAAATAAAAATGGCAGATGGAATGCTGGGGATTGTTACACATGCATCCTATAAAACAACATCTTGACCGTAATTTCAAAGTTGGAAAAAAAAAATTTGCACTGTTTACCTTTTCAACAGTGAAAATTTTGTTTGGATTTCTTTTTTTTTTTTTTTTTTTTTTTTAGATTTATATTTTAGAAAAAAGACATAAAATGCTAAGAGTTGCCCTAGCCAGTTTGGCTCAGTGGATAGAGTATCGGCCTACAGACTGAAGAGTCCGGAATTCAGTTCCGGCCAAGGGCACATGCCCAGGTTGCAGGCTCAATCCCAAGTGTGGGACGTGCAGGAGGCAGCCAATCAATGATTCTATCTTATCATCAATGTTTCTATCTTTCTCTCCCTCTCCCTTCCTCTCTGAAATCAATAAATATGTTTTTTAAAAAATGCTTAAAACTTTTATAAAGAGAGCCTGTATAATTGTATATGTGTAACTTCATATACATACACACACAAGAAAAAGTCCCTTATTAGAGCAATTTTAATAATTGCTCTTGACTTTTGTGTAAGTTTATTTTGTGGCATTTCAGATGGAAGGCAGTTTTAAAATCCTCAACTTTCAAATTTTATATTTTCAAACTGGAAATTTACTTTTCTCTAGAAACTACATCAAAACTCCTTAAAAAGAAAAAATATATATTCCATAAAGAAATATTTTTATGTTTTAATATACAGTATTGATTTTAGTTAAAATGTAGAATGTTTCTGAGATCTGTATACTTTCTACATATGTGAATGTACAATTTAAGCACATTTTCATAGATTTAATCAGAAGAGACCTGAGGAAATACATAGTGAAGATTTTTGCAATAATCTATTTAATTTGTATGCTTTATCTTTGCTTTTTCTTTAACTTTGGCTACTCATTCTGCATATATAAGCTATATGTCACATAAATGTTTAATATAAATAAATTGTAAAATCTTATTGTATGTGAGTATAAATTATAGATACAACATAAAATATAAATATATATGATAGATATAATATATTTATAATATAAATAAATGTATACCACATGTAATATTTATTATTTATAATATGCAACTCAAATATTCCTTTCCCTTTTTAAACTTCAGTTAACAATAAAAATAAATTCTTTATATTTCTACTCATTTACAATGAGTGTGATTACAGAAAAAGAAAAGATAGTAGAGCTGAAACCAGTTTGGCTCAGTGGCCTGTGGACTGAAAGGTCCCTGGTTCGATTCCGGTCAAGGGCATATACCTTGGTTGTGGGCACATCCCCAGTAGGGGGTGTGCAAGAGGCAGCTGATCAATGATTCTCTCTCATTGATGTTTCTAACTTTCTATCCCTCTCTCCTCCTCTCTGCAAAAAATCAATAAAATATATTAAATATATTTTTAAAAAAGAAGAAGAAGAAAAGATAGTAGACACATGCTTTTATAGAAGCTACTAAGCTGTTTTGATTTAAAGAACATTTGGATATAAAATGTGGTAGCGCTAAACAACTAGACAATCAGGAGATCTGGCCTTCAGTGTTGGCTCTGACTCCCATGGCTCTGTGACCTTGGACGATTTTTAAATATTCTGTAAAATGATGGCATTGGTTCCTTCTGGTTGAACAATTCCCTTTCTCTAAATGTAACACATTTATAAGAGATGTGCAGCCAAAATGAAGGCATGAAACCTCTGCAAGTTAATAAGTCACGATGCATTGGCATGGGTTAATTTTCCAATCATTTGCTACAGTCTACTAATATTTGTGGGAAAAGAATTTTGGCATAGCCTTGTAACGTCAATAAAACTCATTTTTCAAGTTTGAAAAAGAACCAGCACAAACAAATGGGAATGCTTGATTTGGGGAAAAAAACAGAAAACTATTTCCAAGGAGCCTGGTATAAATCATGCCCAGAGTGGGTATGAAACAAGAAATAAAAACTAGGACAGTTAATTTCCCTAAAAGCAGAGGTTCCCTTCTGTAATTTGCGACCCTTAAAAATACCACAGGTACAGGGACTGATTTTTATTTTATTTTATTTTATTTTTTACTCAATACAAAATTTGCCATGCTCAATTGAATTAAAGTTGTTTTTAAGAATTTATGAACTAGGAGAAAGAAAGAATTATATATTGTGAAGAAAGTACCTTGTTTGAAAACTGCAACATATGAAACTTTAAAAAGGTTGACCAACTCATTTTGAAAGCTTTCCAGGAAAGAAATCTTTTTGGACATACTTCATTCCACTAATTCTAATTTTTAGAAATGGGGCATACCTAAATATGTTCCCTCATTGACCAAAGAAATGCATTTAAACCACTTTATCATCTCTGTTCTATGTTTTAAAGATCATTGATTCATTCTATTTCAATTTGGTTTAGATAGTATTCTTTGGAGAATAAGAAAAAAATGTTGTAAGTATGACTAATTTTTGTATTTTAATCAAAGCTATTGAATAACATGTCACCGGAATTTGGTGTGTCGATTTTTCTTTTTTTTTTTTTTCTGTCTCCAGGTGTGTTTGGAAAACACTGCGAGTTGAATAGTTACGGATTTGAGGAGTTATCTTACATGGAATTTCCCAGCTTGGACCCCAATAACAACTATATTTATGTCAAATTTGCGACGATTAAAAGTCATGCTTTATTGCTTTACAACTATGACAACCAGACAGGAGACCGGGCTGAGTTTTTGGCCCTTGAAATTGCTGAAGAGAGACTAAGATTCTCTTACAATTTAGGCAGCGGAACATATAAACTCACCACCATGAAGAAGGTGTCAGATGGACATTTTCACACCGTGATTGCCAGGAGAGCGGGAATGGTAAGGCACTGATGACTTCCTGATGTGGACAGTTACTCTGATAGGGGATAGTAGGTAGCGCCCCATCCCAATTCTTAGAGCATAGGTAAGACAACTCGATAGCTAAGGTGTTGTCAGTGGACTCTTATGTGGAGTGGATGATTTTGCCTCTTGACCTCCAAGGTCCCTTTCAACTTCATGAACATTGGATTGTGTCACACAAGGGTGTGGGAGCAAGAGAGAGATAAAAGGAAAAAAGGTACTTTGAGGTATGCCCAAAGGGATTCTTTCAGTTTGTTTGTGGTATGTAGCCATAGTCATCAGGTTTTGAATAATACTAAATGGGGGGAAAAGAAACTCTTGTGTGACTTCAGTCAGCAGGAAAATGCCTCCGTTTCAGAAAACACCCAAATCAAGGCCCCTACTGGATTTTTAATCTATTTTCTACAGTTCAGAAGGGCTTTGTTGAAAACTGGCAAAATCATTAACTTCTCAGCTTGAATCATTTCATCCACAGGACAGAAACTTCTCAGTTTATTGCAGTATTGGTAGAAAAATTCAATAATAAAGAAGGTTCATTTAACTCAGAAGATTAAATTTCATGAGCTACTATTCAAATAAAACTTTCCCTCAGGTATTTTTGATTTGAGTTGTATCACTAAGCTTTTCGGAAAAAAATAAATAAAAAATAAATAATTATATATATATATATATATATATAAAACATTAAGTCTGACTAAAATATGATACCATATTTTATATTTTTTTTTCTATATGAGACATTCATAAATATCCAGTGATACTCCCGAGTTTATTATTGCTTTAGGGATCTCTGGAATTGTCGGATACTTTGCATCGTATATGCAGAGAGAGAGATGTGTTAACGTTTTGTTATATTGTGGTGTTTTTTGTTTGTTTGTTTGTTTTTGAGAAATAAATTAAATAGTCTACATAAGTAATATAAATTATATCATGAAAACTTAATGCTGCCTTTGAGATTAATAACACTCAATTTCATAGAACATTAGAAAGTTATTAATTATTGAAAGAGTTAGCTAGATGGGACATTAAAAATAAGTCTTGACATAGAATTGGAAGTGTAAATATTTGCTATAATGTTAGTATTCATTATGAACGTTTCCTTCTCTTGCTCTATAGGCAGCTTCCTTAACTGTGGACTCCTGTTCTGAGAACCAAGAACCAGGATACTGCACTGTCAGCAACGTGGCCATCTCAGATGACTGGTAAGTACAGCTATTAGTCTGATCTTTACCATTACTTGGCATTAAAAAGGAAATGACACAATTGAAAGTAATTTTATTATGCAAAGTATTACATCAAAATTTAAGGTCTTTCATCCTCTCCAAAGAGATTCCTGTGCTGCAAAATAAAAAGTTAATAAGTGGTGTACAACATTTGTTTTTAAAAAGAAGATGTGAGATGAAGCGGTCGGGATGAGAATACAGTTACAAAAAGAAAAGATGGACATAGTCTAGACTCTGAGAATCTCTGGGAAATAGTTGCATGTGACTTGGGTCCCGCAAGGCTAGGATAATGGCTCCACCCCTTCTAGACGCTCTCTCTGAACGTTGTATGTGACAAGTACCGATGGGTATTTATCAATAGCACTTCAAACTGGAACACATCATTACCCGATCTAAAACATAAGTAACTTTAGTAGAAATAGTAACAAAAAGAAAAATAAACAGTGTTACATAATCCATTGCAGTATTCAACTTATTAACATTCCTTATCATCTCTGTAGTGAAGGGAAATCACTACTCCTAATGCATTTTATATTCTTTCTGAGAGTGTGTTCCTTGCTAATTCAACATTGTTATATACATCCCACTTGACTCTCTGCAAATACCATTTCCATAAGTTTTATTATTATTCAGACTTTAAATAATCCTGGTAGGTATCTGTCTGGTGGACATTGACACATCGGTGATGTTTTCCACTCAAATTTACCATCCTATAACACATGCCAGGAAAAGTTATCTTCACACTTTTTTAAATGAAACCTGCTAAAAAATCTATCATGTTGGTACTAATATACTTTTCTTTCTTATGGAGGACTCTTGACGTTCAGCCAAATCGAGTCACGGTTGGAGGTATCAGATCCCTAGACCCAGTTCTTCAGAGGAGAGGGCACGTGGAAAGCCATGATTTCATTGGGTGCATCATGGAGTTTGCAGTGAACGGAAGGCCTCTGGAACCCAGCCAAGCTCTGGCTGCTCAAGGCATCCTAGACCAGTATGGCAATTTTACATCTTACCCTTTTAAAGAAAATGCAAAAAGTGTATGCTAATTGACCATCAAATTATAAAACTGCTGTGCCAAAGCCCTAAAAGTACCAAATGTTTCACATTGTTTTGAGTTTTAAATATTTATTCGTAATTGTGAAATTTTGTTTGGAATGGACTATAATATTTAATTAGAAAGTTAATTCTTATTTTCTGAAGCCTAAGGGGAAAACAAAACAAAACATGCATGCATATGTGTATATTCCCTATCTTACAGAGTTATGGTAAAGTAGGTAAATCTTGTAGAGAGGAACCTGGCACATTGTGATGTAGAGGATAGCAATAATGTATGTTCAGAAAAACATAAAGTAGCCTATAAACTAACTACACGCAGACATGCTTAGGTAATTGTTATGCTCAGGACTATTCCATAATAGGGATGTGCCCTATTTTAACTGTGGTTGTACGCTTCAATTGTTTCCAGTTTTATTTATATATTAACAGCCCTGTGATTAATATGTACTTACAAAATTCTTTGCTCACATTATTTACTTGAGATATCTAAAAAGAAAATTTCAAAGACAAAGCTGTGAATACTTCCTCATGTTTATAACTTAAGTATTTTAATGCAACCTGCATTTGCTTTTATTTTTCCTTATGTCATCATTGTTTTATTATGAAATTGTACTATTGCATTATGATTAATCACACAGTCAGGAAAATACAGAGTTCTCATTGCCAACCATTTTTAAATAGTTGGGTGTGAATTCTTTTGTATCTTCATGATCTTGCAGATATTTTTGGAAATATTGAAATTTAAAAAATATTTTTATTGATTTGAGAGGAAGGGGAGGAAGACAGAGACAGAAACATCAATGATGAGAGAGAATCATTGATTGGCTGCCTCCTACACACACACCCCAATAGGGAGCCTACAACTGTGACCTCCTGATCCATAGGTGGACCCTCAACCACTGAGCCATGTTGGCTGGGCAGAAATATTAAATACGTTGTGAACATCTGTTTTGGTTAAAACATAGAGATATGTCACAGGTATTGCCAAATTGCTTTCCCCAAAGGTTAGAGTGGTACATAATATGTTGCCTCTATATATGCCTTTTTATAAGGAATAGTCTAGTGTTGATTTTCCCTCAAATCATGCTTCATGTGATCTATATGTTTTATGACTTCTCAGAAAATTTATAAATTGAAATTGAATTCTCTTTCAATGAGAATTTTATCTAATTTTCATCACTCTGTCATAAAAGTTTCTAAATTTAAGTCTGGAGCTTCACTGGAAACATAATTATATCTTATACTTAAGTTGAGTTTTATTTCTAAACATATCTTATTTTTTATATGATGGGTGTCATTTTCTTTGGGTAAGTTAGAATAAAGAGACTTAAAGATGGATTATGTCAAAGCTTCCAAATTTGAGGATTTACTTTAGTTTTTAATTTTCAGATTTATCTGGTGTCTACAAACGCCAACATTCATTGATATCTTCTATGTACCAGATAGTATTCTTAGCATTTTACACTATCAGTTCTTTCCATGTTTACAATCATTTTGTGAGGTAGATATAGTTTCATTTTACAGGTGAAGTAACTGAGCTGCTTAGACTTGTAACATCTTGCCCCAAGTCAACCAGCTAGTGAGTTAAATCATGAGGTAGCACCTGGCCTGGAGCTCCTGATGAGTTTGTAGTCTGTTTAAGTTCATGTTTACTAACCTCTAGTGTGGACGTAATATAGCCTGGCAGTTTATTATATTCCCCTAGTTAAATAATTTTCACACTCTCTTCATGACTAGATCATAGCCTCCTCTTTCCACAGACCTCCAACCATCCCCTGCATCTTTTTCTCAGCTAATGAATTTGCTTCCAAAGTTCAGAACATTTTACAGTCGAATGAAAATGCCTCAAAGCTCATTCCTCCACATCTGCCCATGTGTCCTGTAGCTGACCTTGTAACCTGTCATGAATGAACTCTTCCTTCTCCCACATAGACCAAGCAAGAGCCTACATCCTGCAAACTTTCCAAAAAACAGTGCTCCAGTCCGCGTTGGTGGTATAGTGGTGAGCATAGCTGCCTTCCAAAAAACAGTGCTCCAGCACTCAACTGTCTTTTTCTCATCTCACTTCCTGCGTTATTTCACCTATTTTATTTAAAAAAAAACACACCTTTATTAATCCCATTTTCCTCTTTTCCCCACCACTTTAATTCTCTGTCTTTTCTTTGAAAAATTGTTCTATCTTTATAAAAAGCGATTATTCACTTCTTTTGCTAAAATGAGTGGTCAATTCTCATCTTATTTGAATGTCCGCACTGTTAGGAACAGTCCATCACTCTGTCTCCCTAAAAGTAGCTTATCAGTTTGTGCACAAACTCCTGGTTTCCTACTATAATTCTTTTATCCTGCTTAATATCCTCTAGTTTGTATCTATTTTCAATTCTTGAAGTCACTTTTTCTAGTCCTTGGTTTTAACTACTATCCCTAAAGCTCATGACCCTTAAATAGTTATTATCAACTTGGCCTGTCCTCTGAACTTCAGACCCTCATATCCAACACCCTACTCAACTTCCCATGTGTGTTTCTAACAAATATCACAAACTTAAGTTTAAAACTGAACTTCTGGCCCTCCTTCCTGACTCCTCCCAACCTCCTCTTCTCACAGATTTCCTCTCTCAGGGAGGAATATCTCACTCCACCCACTGGCTCAGCCAAAACTTTTAGACTTACCTTTGGCCCCTCTCTCTGACACATGGCACATGTAATCTACCAGCAACCAGAATGATATTTTAAAAACAAGACAGTTTCTTACCCTGATGTACCAGTCATTCACGGCCAGGCCTCCCCCTTATCTCCTCATCGATTTACACTTCTCCTTGTTCTCTATGATCTAATGATGTTGGGGCCCCTTGATGTTCCTCACACATGACAGGGCTTTCTCACCTACTGTTTCCTCTGCCCAGAATAATCTCCTACCAGATTTACTTTGCTCTCTCACTTTGGTTAGGTCTTTGTAAGAGATGGGTCCTTCCTTCACTGCCTAATCTAGAGACCCAGTAACCCCCAAAACTCCCTGTACCCATTCTCGGTCTCATAGAACCTCTTTTCACAGAACCACCGTTTCCATAAAACCTCCTTCTTTGAACATTTGTCTATATTTGCTTTTTTGCCCGTTTCCCCCACAGGAAAAGCAAATATTCCATGAGCACATGGGTTTTTTCATCATGTTATGTCCATGCTTGGGATAGTGTTTGCCATACAGAAGACATTTGAGAAACATTAGTTGCATGAGTTGTCTAATGGAGGAGAAGTGCTTTCAAATAAATACTTAGACCTGAGATTACTTTAACTACAGTGGTTATTGGGCCAACATGACTTGCTCCATTTAGAATTAACTTAAAGAAAAAAAAAATTATCACCTCGTTTTCTTTACCATGTAAAGTGTTACTCTGTTTAATCTTCTTTATGAATGAGGCGGGTCATTTGTCACAGTTTGATTAGATGTTACCAATGTTGTTGTCATTTGAGTTTCAAAGAGTTGAATGCACAAAACGAAGCAGGTTAACAAACCTTTGTGTTTAATTTTAACACATTTCCCCCCACCATGTCTTGTGTTTTCTGAGTCTCTGTTGTGACTTGGTTTCAGATGCCCCAGACTGGAAGGCGCATGTACTCGCAGCCCCTGCCAGCACGGCAGCACGTGCACGGATTACTGGTCATGGCAGCAGTGTCACTGCAGAGAGGGGCTGACCGGCAAATACTGTGAAAAATGTATGCAAGCGTCTCACCTTTCACTGCGAATTACAGTAACTACGACGATATAGATACATGCTTCTAAATAAGGAACTAAATTATGCTTTCATTCTAAATATTGAAAATATTAAATGGGCAATCATTGTGAATATAGTGACATTTTAAAATTTATATTTTTAACTTGAGGAAGAGTGACATCCTTTTAAAATCACTTACTAAATATTTCATTAGTTTTCTTTACTATATATATATATATATATATATATATTTCCCATTGATTTCAGAGAGGAAGGGAGAGGGAGAGAGAGATAGAAACATCAATGATGAGAGAGAATCATTGATGGGCTGATTCCTGTAAGCCCTACACTGCGGATTGAGCCCACAACCTGGGCATGTGCCCTTGACCAGAATCGAACCTGGGACCCGCCAATCTGCAGGTTGGCGCTCTATCCACTGAGCCAAACTGGTTAGGGCTCTATTTTAAAATTATGTCACTTATGTTTGGTTTACCTTTAGGAAAGCTAGGCAATCTCCAAGGCCAGGGACTTCATATTATCTGCCTTTTGGCAATATTTCTCTGGTGAATATTTTTTATTTGGTAGAAAAATGTAAATGATAAATCACTGAACACAGGACTCAAAACATACAATGCATTATAATCTATTACAATTAAAGTGACACTTGAATTTTAACTTTCAATTATTAAAATTGGTTTTAAATCCTTTTATTAGTGATTTGTTTCTAAACAACCCTAATGTTACAAAAGATTTTAATGATGTTCAAGCCATCATTACACTGTGGCTTTTTCTAATTTCAAGCTGTACATCCACTAACTATCCAACCCTAATGAGATCTCTTTTATAAAAATTGCTTCATTTTCAAATAAGTGGTTAGTACTGAAATCACTGCATTTAACTGACTACTTTTTAAAAGAGTCATTTGGTTCTATTATGAGAATGAATAGAAATTCATGATTAAATTAAGGACACTATAATAAAAATATGTTAGTAGAAAGGTATAATTGTGTTCAATTATTTAGGAGAAAATCACAACATAGAAAAAGGACTTTGACACATATTTTTTAAAGTCATGAGTATTTAATAAGTAGGAACTCAGTTATATCTGAATATGAAATGAGTCATTGGTTTTAGAAATATCTTGCTTTAAAAAATGTAATTTACATATTATAAAATTTGCCTTTTTGAAGTGTAGCATTTAATGCTGAAGCCCTTTTGTGCTCATTTGTTGTTTTTCCTTTAGCTATGGTGCTATTACAAACTATCATACTTCAGTATGTGAAAACTTTATCAGATTATGATAAGTTGTAATTAATTTATGATAAATTAAATTCTGTATGGTTATTAGTAATCATAAAGTTAGTTACAAATAAAAATATGTGATTGCATATTTTTCTTCAAATTTCTAATTGCTAGAGACTTTAAAGATTGTAAATCATTTTAACTATGAAAATATATATTCATTTATGAATTTTGGGAACACAGTGAACCATTATAAATAAATAATGATTCACTGTGTTTCCTCTAAATCTTAACAGGTGGCTATCTCTTTAGCTATTTGTAATTTATATCAAGTATCAAATATTTAATGAAAATTTCCCAAATGATTTGTGTGTATCATAAAATGTTTTATATTGCATGGTTCTGAAATGGATTGAAATATTTGAAATCAACTCCTACAATAATTCTGATGTGGCAATTATTTTTTCAGTAGGGGAATTGGGAGGCATTAATTCTAAACACTTAATATTTTTATTGTCCCTTTTTATAATGTTTTGTCACCTGTAAACACTCTCTAGGAAATGGGGGTGCATTTATTTGTCCCTTTCTTTATTGGCTTGCAGCTGTCACTCCTGACACTGCCCTGTCATTGGAAGGCAAAGGGCGCTTGGACTACCACATGAGCCAGAATGAGAAGCGGGAGTATCTGTTAAGACAGAGCATCCGAGGGGCCACGGTGGAGCCTTTTGGTGTGAACAGTCTGGAAGTAAAGTTCAGGACAAGAAGCGAGAATGGCATTTTAATCCATATCCAAGAAAGCAGCAATTATACTACAGTGAAGGTAGGATAAAAGCTAATGGTGACTTCATTTGATTAGACCGCCTGCTGTGTCATGGTTTAAATCACTTCTCCCACAATTTCTGTCCTCTGTGCCCATTAGAGTTCCGAGTGATGCTGGGCACTAGTTCAATATCATCTCTCTTAGCCATTCCCCTGGCATTGGCCAGAGTGACAAAGGTCTGCGTGGTTTGGTTTCTAAACACTTTTGTCTTGGTTTAGAGTAGAGACCACTGCTAGGTAGGGCCAGCAGGGAAAGAATTTGTTGTGATCTGTGTTGTCTAATAAAATTTTATGTTGCTTTTCCCCCTACTTTTAAACCAAGTAAAACAAAAGGATAATGTGTCTTTGAAAAGGAAAAATACTTTTCTCCAAGAATTATTTAAAACAATGGTATGTGTACGGGGTGGGGCAAAAGTAGGTTTACAATTGTTCTCCTGGAAAATAAGAACAATGGTTAATAAGTAATGGTTCAAGAATAAACTGTGTTTTATGTACTCACAACTATAAACCTATGTTTGTCCCACTCCGTACATTTAAGGACAGGACTGGAATAAAGACAAACATTTGAAATTATCTGGCTTTACTCTGGAGCATATTTTTAACTTACATCCAGGTAAATCCTGTGAAATTAAGTATCTTTGGGATTATTATAAGTAAAATTATAGCTAAATTCTTCAAATAATCTCTAAATAAATATTTTTAAACATCGTATTTCATGAAAACAGTGGATTGATTTATCATTAGGCTTTTACATCATTTCTTATTTTTTTCCCTGACTGTAAATGAGACACTGCACTTGTGAATAATTTCATTAGGCATGTATTCTCCATCAAACCAGAATTCTTTATTCCTAAAATGATCATTCTGCTTTCTATCCTACAAATAAGACATCTCTTAGATAATAATTTTCTTCAGTTTAGTTATATTGTCTGCTTTCTACATTACTTTGTATATTATAATGCTACTCATAATTTTATATGAATTTTGGTAAATTCTTTAAGTAAATAACCCCAAATTTCCTAAATTGATTCTACCTATAAAGCAATATTTTGAAAATTACTAAAAGCTTAGCTAATAAAGCCAAAATGCATAGAAAAGTGCTAGGTTTAATTCACATATAATACTAAAAGTAAAAACAGATGTTCACCTTTAAACTTCAGCCTCTTCATTCTCAAAATTTCTCTTTATCCAAGCCAACTCTGGTTGTTATGTTCCATGTATACATCTTTAATAAGAAGTAAAAAAACAAACCAAAAAAAATCTTTTAAAAATTCTCACATTGTAATCCCCTAGTCTGGTCATTCCCATCTGGGGGTGATGTTACCCTGTATGGACACTTGGCAATGTCTGGAGACACGTTTGATTGTTATGGTTTGGGGGGATGGTATATCCCTACACATCCTACAGTGCACAACCCAGCACCCCACAAAAAAGAATCATTCAGTTGAAATGTCAGTAGTGCCAGCGTGAGAAACTGCCCTAACCCAGGCCTAGGGAACGTCCTCGGCCTGTAACTTTCCCTCCACTATGGAAACAAAGAGCCAGTTCCTGAATTAACAGAGCAGCGACAAAACAAAGCAGGCGAGTCATTGTATAATGTCATTAGTTGGCGTTTATCCTTTTCTTTGGAAAGTGTATTAAAAGCCAAGAAAGTAAAGAAGTAGAGAGAGAAGTAGGCCTGCCTGTCTATAGGAAATGTTTCCTCTGCGTTGAGAGGCCTGACATGGAGGTCTGAACATTATCTGTTAAGCTGCTTCCAAGTCCTGTGCCACTGAGATGACAGGTCAAACATTTCTGTGCAGTAGCTCCTTAAGCCAAGACCATCAAAATGCAACGTGGTTGAAGACACCAGAGGCAGACTTTCCTCTTCCTTGAGGAAGAGGCTGAATGTCAGGACCCATTTTTGTCCCCATAAAACCTTGCATTTCCCACAGCCCGGCCGCAGGCTGCTTCTCCAGACTGGGTGCCCTGGGTAGGGAGCGCTTCGAAAGAGAAGGGCAAAGTCAGTGCAAACGGATAAAAATAATGACTAACGAGACCAAAAGGCACATTTCTTTTGTATGAGATTTTGAAAAGCATCTTTTCAGAGATGAAAGGGGCTTTGGCAGGTAAAGTAAGTACATTGAAAAACAATAACAACCAGAACCGGTGAAAAAGGAGAAGTCAGCAGACAGGAAGAGGGTGACTGTTGGGAGCAGGCATGCCGCCGCCCGTTTGGATGACAGGAATCCCATGTGCCTGTGCAGCCTGGGAGCCAGTTCAGATGACTGAATTATCAGCCAGCTTATCAGTGGCCTCGGCCCCTGGTTTTCTTCTCTCCTTCCTTTGGCTCTCTTTCTGACAGTTTCCTTCTTCCTTTTTGCATATTCTAAATCAACCCCCACCTCTCTCTCTCTCTCTCTCTCTCTCTCCCTCTCTCTCTCTCTCTCTCTCTCACACACACACACACACACACACACACACACACACACACACTCACTCTGTGAAAATGGAAAAGGACGGGATTGTAAACGGCTGTGGAAGAGAGGGTCCATGGTAGGTAACAATAGCAATGCGGGAAGAGATGCGAATATACCATTAGAGTCTGTTTGGATAAAAAAGAAATGAGGGTGAGGACATCTCAGCCAGAAAAGCAGAAGGAAAGTCCTCTTGTGTGTAGCGCGTTGACACTATGAAGTGTTCCCCAAACCTCCCATCTGTCAGGGCGTATTGTGCCTCTCGGTGTTGGAGCTCTGTAATAACAGATGATGGACTTCCTACTCCAAATCAGTTCTGTGGTTTGGTGCAGAGCTTTTTGGTTTGTTTTGTTTCTGAGTGAGGCTAGGTATAGTGTACAGACTTGGGAAGAGGGATTCAGAGGTCTGTTGATTAAAAAATAAATAAATGGACAAAGCAAAGTGTTAGCAGGATGTTTGGAAGTTAAAAAGAATACAGGAGTTTGTTGGTAGAGTATTATTAGGGAAAAGGAAAACATTAAGACAGTGTACTGTTCTTAGTGAATCCACGCTGTGGTATATCCACAGAGCCTCTCTTCAGATAAAGGGATGACGGGTTGTGATCCATCAGGCGAGAGACACAGAGCTGCCAGAAGGCTCTTCCCAAGGCCTATTTCCAGAAAGGACTCTGGCTACAACCAAAGACGGGTGGCTGTTTTTACCGCATGCCATGAGACGTTGCCCATTTGATGAAATGTTATTGTCATTTAACCACAACTCCTTTTTTCTATCTGAGTTTGGGACTGAAATATATTATTATCTAGAGAGACTGCTTTAATAAAATATCACAATATGAATAACATATGTAAATGTGCGAGGAGTATTTTCCACAGTACAGATGTACTGACTTTTCGTTCCACCAGATGTGTTTGTTGCGTGGAGAAACGGCATTTGATCTGAGCGACAACATAAACTGATCCATCCTTTCATGCCTGTCATGTGAGACATGGTGTCACTTCATCCTCCCGCTGGCCCCAGCTCTGTCTGGGAGTTTGATGGGATGATGCTCTCTGAACCAAATGTTCATCTGCCTCATAAATTATTTTATTTCCCAAAGTGTCTACTCGGAATACTGGGAACTTGGTTGGAAATGGGAGTAGGAGCATCCTGTTACCCAATGTTCTACTGGGCGAAGTCACAGAAACCGAATATCCCTTAGATAGATTGGAAGAGAGCCAAAGTGAAGACTTGCCCAGACACCTCATTATCAAGAACTTAACATTTATTCATCATAGTTCTTTTTAATCTCAATAACTGATGTAAATACTAGACATGATTTCTTTCTAAGATTCCAGTGTGTCATAGGTGAAACAATTTATTTTTGTCTTTATTTTTCCAACTATTCTTCATTTTTATCTAAGTATTGATTTATTTTGCAAGTAGTTTCAATATTTTTTTGTCATTGTTGGCCATGTACTAAACTGACCAATTTTATTTACACTCACCATTGCCATTAAATGATAGAAAATCATGCTCTTCCAGGATGGCTCAATTGATTGAGCATCGTCCAAGCACAAAAAGGTCACCCATTTGATTCTCTGTTAGGGCACATACTCAGGTTTTTGGTTCAATCCCTGGTAGGGGGCATGTGCAGGAGGCAATCAACTGAGGTTTCTACAACACATTGATGTTTCTCTTTCTCTCTCTACCTTTTGCTTTCTCTCTCTAAAATCAATAAAAACATTTTTTTTTAAAAATTAGGAAATCATTAAAAAAATTAATTTACTTATCTTAAAAGGGCCATTCATCCCATTATTATCTCAATTGTATTCTGAAAGATAATTGTCTGCATCTGAAATAATTAAGTAAAAATAAATAATACCTTAAAAACTATTGAAACTATCAACTGTGAAGATATATGCTACCTAAAAATCATAGAGGTTGATAAGTAAGTATACTCTAATATATTCAGTCTCTTCAGCTCTTCTAGCTGCTTTGAACCAACCAATATTTTAATATTTTATTTTGTTTTTATTCAAGTATATTGGAGTTTAATTATACATTGTCTTAATATGTTTATAGATTAAGAATGGCAAAGTCCATTTTACATCAGATGCAGGAATTGCTGGGAAAGTGGAGAGAAATATTCCTGAAGTGTATGTAGCTGATGGCCACTGGCATACTTTTCTAATCGGAAAAAATGGAACAGCCACAGTACTGTCCATCGACAGGATATACAACAGAGATATTGCCCACCCTACCCAGAATTTCGGTGGCCTCGATGTGCTCACTATATCCCTTGGAGGAATTCCACCCAATCAAGCTCATCGAGATGCTCAAACAGGTAAATGCTCATGCTGAGTCCCATCACAAGGCAAGGTAAAGCTGTTTCTCTGAAAGAAGTTGGATTTCTGGTAATATCTATTATGCATATTCTAAGAATGTCATAATTATCCTTGGAAAGTTTATAATGAATTATTGGCCATCACTTAACTTAGACATTTACATTGATTCTACCAAGTCATAGTTCAGCCCATGGTGTGTTGATGTTTCCTTGTCCACCAAGCATTTATTTATACATTCATTCACTTACTCACTTGTGAACCCTATATTGGCCACTGGGAGTGTGATGGTGGACTTAATAAATAGCCATTTTCTTTGTAAAATACAAGGTCCGGTAAGGGAGACAAACATTAATCAAATAATAAGTAAATATATCATTTTAAGCTATAACAAATGATGTGAAGAGAGAATATAGAATTTGAAGAGATTGCCCAAAAAAAGGAGAAAGAGAAGCTTTCCTGGAAAATTGGCATATGTACTTAAATCTGAACTATGAAGATGAGGACAGGAGAATATAAAAGATTGAATTATTTTGATAAAAACTTAAAAAAAAGGAGAGTAATTCAAGATCACAGAACCCAGCACCTTGGGGACTGATGTCACAGGTAAAAGGATGAAGTGTAGTTTTGGTCTTATTCTCAGAATAGCGGGAAGTTGCTAAAAAAGTAGTCTTAGAAGTGTCCCGTGATGTTAACGATCTTCCAGGCTCTGCCAGGGAAAATGCATTGCAGGAGGACACCAGTGACCTTGCATAAATTAGCTGGGGAAACATTGCAGTGACTTGAGCTTTCACTAGAGTAGTGGAGAGGAGTTGTAAAGTGGGTAGGGAAAATGTATTTTTGAAAATTTAAGTCAACCAAATCATTGATGATTTTGGTAAAATTCAAGGAAGTTTCTGACTTTTCCACTAGAAGAAGGCTAGTTCCACTGAGAAAGGCAGGTGCAGAAGAGTATAAAAAGAAGCAGGCCTTTGAGAAACATCAAGACTTGGTTGGGGACATTGTGGGTATGGAGCACCTTTGAGAAAGACCTTTTGGAAGATGGGATAGAATGAGGAGTGGACTTCCCCTGAAAAGCCATATTAGGAGCTATCAGTGTCCAGCAGATAATTGAAGTACTGAGCATGGATGTGATTGAATGAGAGCCTAGAAAGAAAACAGAGAGAGCAGGAGCAAATGCAGGAGATGTTGCAGCTCATGGAAAAAGAGTGGATCAGGGATGGAAAGGTCACTGGGATGGAATGATGCATCAGTAAGAGGAAGATTGAAAAATGCATGAGAGAGTCACGGAGTTAGGGCATCAATATCCAAGTCCAGGCCATAAGTCATTTATATTTAGCCTGTTTGAGAATAGGAATGTTAATTATTTCGGGTGTTTCAGAAAAACAAATCACTGTAAATCAGGCATTTTGTTAGTGACAAAACAGAGTCTTGGGCTAATAGGAGCATTAGCAAGATTGGCACACTCTAGTCTAGCAACGTTTTCTCAACTTCTTAAAAAAAAAAAAAATCTTTGCCTTTGAAGGAGCCATTGTAGATACTCTATATCCGCCCTTTCAAGATCCACAAGGCATTTCTCTTGCTTCCTTTTTTTTTTTTTCTTTTTCTTTTCTCAACTCCTTGGAAGCAATATCACCTCCATTGAGAATGCACGATCTAATGATGGGATCCATTGGCCTATTTCGTGTTCTTTATAAGTATTTGTTCAAATACATGTTATTTCTGCACTTGCAGTTCTTGGCCTATAGACTACAAAAATAAAACAAATAGATAACCAGATAAATAAAAAGAAGGAGAAAAAGCCAATCCAGCCCACCCGGGTCACCCATAAATGTTCGGGAAGAGTGGGGTCTGAGCGACCCACCCCCATGTTCTGGTGGAAGTCTTGCTAAGAAGGTAGCGTGTCACATGCACGGATGTATTGCCCTGGAACCGGACTGGTGGCTCCTAGACGGTTCTCTCTAAGCGCCCGTGACCTGACTGTGAAGCTTCTCTAGACCAGATCCCATCAGCCTTTGGTTTTTCTCAAAAAAAAAAAAAAAAAAAAAAAAAAAAAAAAAAAAAATGCCCCCACGGCTCCTTCTCCCCGCAGGTTTCGACGGCTGCATCTCCTCCGTGCTGTACGGGGGCGAGAGCCTGCCTTTCAGCGGGAAGCACAGCTTGGCCTCCATCTCCAAGACGGACCCCTCGGTGAAGATCGGCTGCCGGGGGCCCAACATCTGCGCCAGCAACCCCTGCTGGGGCGACCTGCTGTGCATCAACCAGTGGTACGCCTACAAGTGCGTGCCCCCGGGGGACTGCGCCTCGCACCCGTGCCAGAACGGGGGCAGCTGCGAGCCGGGCCTGCACGCGGGCTTCACCTGCAGCTGCCCGGAGTCGCACACGGGCAGCACCTGCGAGACGGTGGTGGCTTGCCTGGGCGTCGTGTGCCCGCAGGGGCGCGTGTGCCAGGCCGGCAGCCCCGGAGGAGGAGGAGGAGGAGGGCACGTCTGTGTGCTGGGCCCGGGCCCGGAGGAGCTCTCCCTGCCGCTGTGGGCCGTGCCCGCCATCGTGGGGAGCTGCGCCACCGTGCTGGCCCTCCTGGTCCTCAGCCTCATCCTCTGCAACCAGTGCCGGGGCAAGAGGGCCACCAAGCCCCCCAAGGACGAGAAGAAGCAGCAGCCTCCCAAGGAGAAGAAGAAGAAGAAGAAGAAAAAGGGGAGCGAGAACGTGGCCTTCGACGACCCGGACAACATCCCCCCTTACGGGGACGACATGACGGTGAGGAAGCAGCCCGAGGGGAACCCCAAGCCGGACATCATCGAGCGGGAGAACCCCTACCTCATCTACGACGAGACCGACCTCCCCCACAACCACAGCGCGGCCGCCGCCGCCAGCGAGACCCTGCCCAGCGCCCCGCTGGCCTCCCCGGAGCAGGAGATGATGCTGGAGCACTACGACATCGACAACGCCAGCAGCATCGCGCCCTCGGACGCCGACATCGTCCAGCACTACAAGCAGTTCCGCAGCCACACGCCCAAGTTCGCCATCCAGCGGCACAGCCCGCTGGGCTTCGCGCGCCAGTCCCCGCTGCCCCTGGGCGCCAGCAGCCTCACCTACCAGCCCGCCTACGGCGGCCCGGGCCTGCGGACCAGCTCCCTGAGCCACTCGGCCTGCCCCACGCCCAACCCCCTGTCCCGCCACAGCCCCGCGCCCTTCTCCAAGTCCTCCACCTTCTACCACCGCAGCAGCCCGGCCCGCGAGCTGCACCTGCCCCCGGGGGTGCGCGATCGGGACGGCACCGTGGCCGAGATGCACGGGGACGCCTGCCAGCCGGGCCTTTTCAACTACCCCACGCGGCTGGGGAGGAGGAGCAAGAGCCCCCAGGCCCTGGCCCCCCCGCACGGCTCCAGGCCCGGGAGCCGCCTGAAGCAGCAGCAGCAGCAGCAGCAGCAGCAGCCCATGGGCCAGATGCCGCTGGAGTCCTCCCCGCCCGTGGGACTGTCCATCGAGGAGGTGGAGAGGCTCAACACCCCGCGCCCCAGGAACCCGAGCATCTGCAGCGCGGACCACGGCCGCTCCTCCTCCGAGGAGGACTGCCGCAGGCCGCTGTCCCGGACCCGGAACCCCGCCGACGGCATCCCGGCCCCGGAGTCGTCCTCCGACAGCGACTCGCACGAGTCCTTCACCTGCTCGGAGATGGAGTACGACCGGGAGAAGCCGATGGTCTACACGTCCAGGATGCCCAAGTTGTCCCAGGTCAACGAGTCGGATGCCGACGACGAGGACAACTACGGCGCCAGGCTGAAGCCCAGGAGGTACCATCACCACGGCCACGGCCGCAGGGCCGAGGGGGCGCCCGTGGGCGCGCAGGCCCCCGCGGCGGCCGCCGACAGCACCCTGCCCCTGAAGCTGGGGCAGCAGGCAGGGAATTTCAACTGGGACAACCTCTTGAACTGGGGCCCCGGCTTCGGGCACTATGTGGACGTGTTTAAAGACCTGGCATCTCTCCCAGAAAAGGCAGCGGCCAGCGAGGACGGCAAAAGCGGGACGAGTCAGCCTGTCCCCAAAGACGGGGAAGCAGAACAGTATGTGTGAGCGACCGGTGAGGGGGGCAGGACACAAAGACAGAGACACAAGGGGTGGCCCAGAGGCCCTCAGGGCAGGGCGGGTCGTGTTTGCAAAGCCGGCCAGGAAGGACTGACAGGTGCTGGAGGGAGACTGAAAAATAATAACCACAATGCTGCTGAAACCGGCTCGGAACAGCTCTCTCTCTATTCATGTAAACGCGCTCCGTGGAGTTTATGGTCCTGCATGCATGCTGCGTGTGGTGTGACTCGTGATAGGGGCGCAGCATTCGGAAGGGTTTTCTTTCTTACTTTTGACCAAGGCCCCGCGGTGTGACTTTGAACATGACTCCCATGGCCATTGCAGACATGAACCTGTCGCTGTCACGGTGGGGTTGTGTATTGTTGCCGTTGTGTTGCTATTGTTATGTTTTTGCATTGCCAGACCCCTGAGGTTCAACCAATCCTTGTAGCTTTGTAGCCAAGAGCCCTCCTCATACCCCTTGAACGAAAGACTAAGTATTAACACTTTTCAGGATCATAGTCTCCCTATTCGATGCTTATCGAGAACGTCTGAGGGTTTGGAATACCTTGTATATGACCTTGGGTACTAAAATGAAGTCACATGGTGTTCAGCACTTTAGAACTTTCTTACGGAAATTGAGTTAAAACTTCTGAATCTTTTCTGTGTAAAACAGGGGTGCTCGTATTTTCATGAGGCGTCCGCTAAGGAGCAAAGTGATTGCATGTTGTCCCAGAACCCTGCCGCCTGCTGCCGTGGAATAAGGCCCAGCCGCGCCTCTCAGAGACACTTTTGAAAGTTATTTATTAAAAAAAATGTTCTATGCTTTTAAATTTTTAAAGATTTGACCTAAGCAAAGCCTATGATTGGACATACTTTTCAACCAGTTAGCATTTACCCCAAGTACCCAGTTTTTATAATTTATATAGAGTCAAATTTCATCACTTCTTGCTTTCTGTCATTTTGTAGATCATTTTTTAATACCTTGTAAAAACGTGTTTTGTGTTTTTGGGTTGTTTTTTTTTTTTACACCTAAGCTGTGTTTTTGATACTGATATTTTCTTATGCTGAATAGTTTTCTTACTTTCTGGGAAGGTAAGAAAATACTTTTTTTACATTTGTTACTTATGTAACGTTCATATTTTTCACATTTTTGATATTTGTAACATACTGTATGCTTTCTACTTGTAAAATGCCAACAATAGAATTAAAATATTTATTTAAAATATGTTGCATTCATAGTGTAATGTTAAACTTTCACCTCTAGGCATTCTTTTCTTCACCCATCTGAAAATAGTTTCTGCTTGTCCATAGGGCGTGGCAAGTTGAGCCATGCAAATGGGTAACTTCATTTTCTTTCAAAAAAAACACGTGTGTGGGTAGTTGCCAGAACAGATATTTTAAGGCTGACTTAGTGCATTCCTACCTGTCAGAGTCCTTGGACTTCCCAAGAGCATAATGCGTCTCGACTAGCCTGGGTCTTAGGGGACTAACTTGGTGGTGAACTTGGTGTAAGCATTCTGGCCATAAATGTTTGGACGTTCCCAGCAGAGTATGTTCACTGAAGGCCAGCTTTGGACCAGGCTTATCGTTATAGAAGCAGCAGTGAATTAAAGCTAATTATGGAAAAAATGTCTGGGTTTCATTTTCTCCCAAATTTCCTTGAAGTCCAGTGGTACAGAAAGAACGGCAGTGAAAGCTCACCTCCTCGTGCCCGTCTAAGTCCTTGATCTCCCGCTGCACACATTCGGAACGAATTCTGCTACCTTCGCCAAGACAAATGTCTACCTGCAGGAGCGAAACAATTCAGGAAAGGACCCCAGCCCAGGACAGGATCCGTCTGTGCATAAACAGTCACATCTGAAGAACAGGACTTCGGCACAGTCTCAGAACCAGTTATTCAACATCTGCCCCAGACCTAATATTTGCTGAGAATATGATTTTCCAACTGCACCCCTGACTGACCTAGATTGAATAGGGGTTTTTAACAACATGTAGAAGTTTTTAGTCAATAAAATAGTTTTAAATCAGTACCAACAAACTGAAATTTAGGCCAGAATTATTTTGTCATTTAATAATATTGGGATTGCATTTTTTGGTTTCAGAAGAGGAAATCAAATGTGAGTTTAATCTAAATTATGATAGTCCTATAGCATGGTTTAGCCTGAGTGTCAGACACTCAATTTTTTTTTTTTGTCACCGGTGAGGACCAAACATGTTTTCCTATTTCCCTCTGAGTGTTGGTATTATGAATGTGTGAGCCAAATGTGGGAACATGTTGATTGCACGGTATAACTCAAAACAGAATACAGGGTGTGTTTTTTCTGCAGACACACTGAAGCATCTCAATGTCTTCAAGGATATAAACTCCACAATTGAGAACAGAGCAAAAGTAAATTGATCAACACGATTATAGGAAGGGTTAAGGGGAAAGAACCTGACACCAAGACTGTGTTCCAGTTCTTTGGAATTCTTTGTGAGACAGAGAATTGCCGTTCCCTTCATTAATCAATCCCGGTTTGGGACTCGGGACTTTTCTAGGATAATTTCTTGTCTGGTTTTTCTTGGAAACCTTTTTCACTGAAGCACAAGCAATACTTACAGCAAAACAAATCAGAAACGTATGGGACAAAAGTCTCACTTGCAATGGAGATTCATGCTTCACTCACTGAAATAGTGAAGCCATGCAGTGTGTATTGTGGTTACCAGGAGGTTATGGACAAATTGACAAGGCAGCAATTCCCTCAAATAAATGGCTAATAGTGGCCTGGACTGGTATGTTTGCACCCAAAATCATGACCTGGGAATTTTAATCCAGCCCCCGTAAGGGTTTCCTGGACCACCTGGAACCAGTCATTCTTTGGGGCTTTTGTGCAAACGTTTTCTTTCAGGCACACACTGTGAACACTCATTGGCCATTTGGCCAGCAGAGGCAGGCACTGGGCCTCAGATCTGTAGGCCTGAACTGGCGACCTGGCACAGGACGCACTCACTCTCTTCTCAAGGAGCACACTGCTGCTGCTTTCTAGATTGTTTCTGGAATTTTCTAAATTAGCTGATTGTATTGATAGCTTATTCAAATCAAATAAAATTATCTTAAGAAGGTATTGGAACCATCAGAAGGGCTTGGAATGGTTCTCCCTTACATGTTGCTATAAAAACGTTTACCAACACTGTGGTTGATGAGAAATGTAACTGACAAACTATTGAAAGTTATGTCCTTTATAAACATTTTTTTATAAAGGAAAGTCAAATCTATCACCACGTGATTTGATTACTTCCAGACACTCTGTCTAAGCACAAGTCACTGTTTTCATGAAAATGCATTTTTTTACTTACTTAAATTCAACATCCTGGTAAAATTAGTCTGTAAAAGGTGGAAATAATTCTTAAATTTTAAATCAATAATTCAGCAATGCACTTTTACTTTTCCCAGTTTATGTTATAGATCTAATTTTAATGGACTAACATTTTTAGATGATTAAATTTACATTCCCTAGGAAAAACAAACCTAAAATATAATGTGTTACAGCATACAACTATTAGAGCATTTAGTGTGAAATAAAGTATTAAAGTCTGTGATTAATCTAGTATGTTTTATTTTAATTTCTCTGTGCTGGAAGTTTTGTTCACTTTTTAAAAAATTGTCTTTATTGTTGAAAGTATTACTGATATCCCCATCCCTCTCCAATTTGTTCCCCCCACCGAGTGCCCACCCTCACCCCCCACTCCTAGGCCTTCACTGCACTACTCTCTGTGTCCATGGGTTATGCATATAAGTTCTTTTGGTTAATCTCTTCCCCTGCCTCCCTGCCCTCTGAGATTGGTCAGTCTATCCTATGCTTCCGTGTCTCTGGATCTATTTTGTTTGTAAGTTTACTTTGTTCATTATATTCTACATACAAGTAAGATCATGATACTTGCCTTTCTCTGACAGACTTATTTCACTTATAATGTTCTCCAGGTCCCTCCATGCTGTCTCAATGGGTTTTTTATAGTTGCATTTTATTCCATTGTGTAGATGTACCAGAGTTTTTTTACCCACTCATCTGCTAATGGGCACTTGGGCTGTCTCCAAATCTTAACTGTGGTAAATAATGATGCTATGAATATAGGGGTGCATATATTCTTTCTGACTGGTGTTTTTTCTTAGGATATATTCCTAGAAGTGGGATCACTGGGTCAAATGGGAGTTCTACTTCTAATTTTTTTATTTTTAATACATTTTATTGATTTTTTACAGAGAGGAAGGGAGAGAGATAGAGAGCTAGAAACGTCGATGAGAGAGAAACATCGACCAGCTGCCTCCTGCACACCCCCTACTGGGGATGTGCCCGCAACCAAGGTACATGCCCTTGACCGGAATCGAACCCGGGACCTTTCAGTCCGCAGACCGACGCTCTACCACTGAGCCAAACCGGTTTCGGCTCTACTTCTAATTTTTTGAGTAAACTCCATGCTGTCTTTCACAGTAGCTGCACTGGTCTGCATTCACACCAGCAGTGCATGAGGGTTCCTTTTTCTCCACATCCTGGCCAGCACTTGTCTTTTTTTTTTTTTTTTTTTTTTTTTTGGTTGTTGGTTTTTTTGTGTGTGTTTTTTTTGTTGTTGTTGTTTTTTTAAAAAATATTTTTTATTGATTTTTCACAGAGAGGAAGAGAGGGGTATAGTTAGAAACATAGATGAGAGAGAAACATCGATCAGCTGCCTCTTGCACACCCTCTACTGGGGATGTGCCTGCAACCAAGGTACATGACCTTGACCGGAATCAAACCTAAGTAGGACCTTTCAGTCCACAGGCCAATGCTCTATCCATTGAGCCAAACCGGTTTCGGCTCATTTGTTGATGGTAGCCATTCTGAAAGATGTGCGATGGTACCTTATTGTCATTTTAATTTTCATTGTTCTGATGATCAGTGACTTTGAGCATTTTTTCATGTGTCTCTTGGCCATCTCTATGTTCTCTTTAGAGTGGACACTTTTAAGTGTCTTTTTAGGTCTTCTGCCATTTTTAAATTGGATTGTTTGTCTTCCTTTTGTTAAGTTGTATTAGTTTTTTTTTTTTTTAAATATATTTTGGACATTTATATATCAGATATATCATTGGCAAATATGTTTTCCCATAAAGTTAAATCCCTTTTCATTTTGTTGATGGTTGGTTTCTTTTGCTGTACAGAAGCTTTTTATTTTGATGTAATTCTGTTTATTTATTTTTCCCTCAGTTTCCTTTGCCCTGGGAGATGTATCGGTAAACATATTGCTAAGAGAGATGTTTGAGATTTTGCTGCCTATGGTTTCTTTTAGGATGCTTATGGCTCCATAATTTACATTTAAGTCTTTTATTCATTTTGAGTTTATTCTTGTGTATGATGTAAGTTGGTGATCTAGTTTCATTTTTTTGCATATACTTGCCCAATTTTCCCAACACTACTTATTGAAGAAACTGTCTTTACTCCATTGTATGCTCTTGCCTGCTTTGTCAAATATCAATTGAGTGTAATGGCCTGGGTTGATTTCTGGGTTCTCTGTTCCATTCCATTGATCCATATGTCTGTTCTTGTACCAGTATCAGGCTGTTTTGATTACAATGGCTTTGTAGTATAACTCTGGTATTGTGATACCTCCTACTTTGTATATTCCTTAAAGATATTTTGAATGAAATGCCACATGATTAAGAATTTATATGGTTACCACCACTTAGCCACCTGGTAGTACTCGTGGTCCAGGAGTTATAGGTCAGTGTGATAAAGAAATCTAATAGTTTCATTTGTTATTATTAAGGGGAAAGGCACACAGTTCCTGTAAATTTTGGTGCATAATAAGTATTAATGAATAGATCCTCACATAAACTGTGCATCTGTGATATCGTTGCAAACAAATATATTCTTAACTAAAGACCATGAAGTACAATAATATCCTTCAACAGAGAAATAACAGACGTAAAGAAGTTCAGTGTCCTGGGTAAATCTATTCAACCACAAACAATAATTAGTACATTTTCCATGCCAAACACTCATCTAGAACATGGAATAAAATAGTGAAGAAAACAAAGTACCTTCCTTGATTAAAGTTACATTGCAATAGAGGTGCTAGGCAATCAGCCAACAAATACAGCAATAATTGTGTACCGTAGTATCTTGTGGAGACAGGTGCCAGCAAGCCAACTGAAGCAGAGTAAGGGGGAGATGGTGATTTGGGCAGACCTCTGAGAAGATTACATTTGAGCTG